AAAAAAAAAAAAAAAACAACAACTCATGTCTCTATTATTAAGTATGAAGTTAAATCCAGGAGACAGTTAGCTTTAGCATAACGACTACAAGCAGGGGAAAACAATTACAGTAGCCTGTTCAAAGGGAAAAACTAAGTCTACCAGAACATTTAATGTAAATTAATATGTTATATCTCATTTGTTTAATCTTGTCGTCCACTAGTCTTGCCCTCCACAGTTAATAATCAATCAGATGAGCATCTGACTGATTATATTTAATCTAATTCTTTGTCTCAAATATGTTGCTCTTGTCCATTTTCAACATAGTCCCCCCCTGCTGCTGTGAACATACTTGTACAGGTTCTCTCCTACTTGAGAGTTGCTAAGTCTGGAAGAATAAAAAAATTAAAGAAAGGAAAGAAACATTTACATAAGTATACAAGTGTTGGTCACACCTCTTTGTCACACCAAATCATCTGTCAGCAATAAAACTCAGGACTGTTTCCTGTCAACAGCCGGCCAAAAAACACCAGACCCTCCAATCATTCTTCAAAGCAAATCTTTCATGTGAATTTTAGATGCAGTAAGTCTTATTTATTTGAATACAGTAATCTTAACACAAGCACTGATTCAGTGATCTCTAACTTAATATGCTTCAATTCCCCCACACCAAGGTGCTACGCATGTTAAAATGTTAAGTTTATTTATGTGGAAAGCAAAATGTTTATATATATGTTTCAACAGAGAATTTGCCAAAGAAAGAGAGCGCGTGGAGAAGCGACAGGAATTCCTGAAGCTACGGAGGCAGCAGCAGATCGAGAGAGAGCTCACTGGATACTTGGAATGGATCTGCAAAGCAGGTTAGACTCGTCTCTGAAATGGTGTGAGAGCTGGTGTTTATGTGTGTGTGTTGTGTTAGATCAACATGACAAATTGGTAGAAAAGCCAACTTTCCTTTCTCTCTACTGCTGCAGAGGAGGTGTTGCTGGAGGAGGAGGATGAAATAGCCGAAGAGAAGTCCCCGCTGGACGGTGTGTGGTACAAGAGGAAACAAAACCTTCCAGGTGAAAACAGGACTGAGTATCTGTTGCCTGCTTTACCATGGTCCATCAGCGCAGGAGGCCAATGGTAAACCAGGCACAGAGAGGTACAGTTCATTTCCATCCAAAGAGTGGCTTTGTATAGCGTCACTGTGCTGTGCATAAATCATACCAGGATCATTGGGTAGTTTCACCATGAACATGATCTGGTTCTTTTTCCCCTGTGGAGTGAAGTGTGGGCCCAAAGTAGTGTTTTTACTATGTTATTTACAGGTAGTGTCACATGTAGAACAATCTGGAGCTGTTGTAAGGGCAGACTTATTCACAGTTATGATATTTGAAGTTGGACCTCATATTAAATTTAAGCTGTTCCCTGTTTCTAGTCATAATGCTGAGCTAAGGTAACTAGCTGCTGGCTGCACCTTTCCATTTAGCATGAGAATGTGATGATCTTTTCATCAAATTCTTGGCAAATAAGCCACATTCTTCCAGTTTGTTTAAAATTGGACATATAGTAAAGGTTCTGAACCACACCCTTTTTGATATGGATGAATATTCAAGTTTTGACAAGATATTTAACCAGTATTCTTCATATACAAAGTTAGCATTACAGTATAACATAAAGAATAACATGACTTACAACCTGTCTTTACATTAACTCCACTTGTGCAACTGTAAAATGTGCTGTTTGTAGCCCTGCTGGTCAGTAATATGTAAGTCCAATCTGTAAACATAATCCATAAACACAGTGTTATCAGGGTGCAAATCATGATTGCCATTCTGTACTTTGGTTGCCCTTATGTCAGAAAGAGCACAGTTATTCAAATCCTCTTTCCTATAATGCCAATTCATTATGCTTAATTAGCGGGATTTACCGCAATAGTATGTTTGGATCTGTTAATATAGATTTACTATGCCACACTCCCTGATACACACACACACATGTGAAAATGCATTTGCCAGTAAACTGACTCACACTGGAAACAAATTCATGCTGATGATCTCAGTAAAACCAGCAGCCTTATTGTCTCAATTAGTTACATACGGAGGATTAAAAGATCTGTTTCTACAGCCGTAGAAAAACCACTGTGATGGCCTTAGTCAGACAAATGACAGGTATGAGCGCAGTGTTGATCAGTGTTGACTGAATTGGTAGAAGCAGTTTTACATTTCTTTGTTCTAAAATGACGTATCCTCTATTTAATTACAGTCGTTTTTTAACTGAGGAAATTATCCTTCATAATATTTTTGACAAGCTGGATATTTTATTGCACAAGGTATTTCACTTGTTTAAAGAAATTAAGGGTTTTAGGATGCAGTTATATAGGGGACATTTTTTCCATATTTCTCACTCTCAGCAGTGTTTTTGAGCTGAGAATCAGGGGTGCAGATCTTGAGACCAACCCAGTGACACAGAGCTGGTCACACAACAATCACCTTCATGTGAGGCTGGTATTTTTTCATTCCTAGGCTGGCATCAAGCAAGAAGGCAGAAAATCTCTGAATGAAAATTGTTTCAGATGCTGACTGTTCATCGCTTCCAATTTGCTCATCCCTCTACGCTGCCATGCACACACCGCACAGACACACATGCATATCCTGTGATGGTGTGCTGTTCAAATGAAATTTCAAAATTCTTGTTTTTTCACACCATAACTGACTTCTTCACTTTCATTTTATACTAAAGAATACAGCTGTGCATATCAATGAAGTGCCATCATGGAGGCGAGGAGATGGAGAGCTGGGCCGAGCTGCGTAGGTGGGGTCACTCCTGGGCTGGTCGACAGTGATGGTGGTACTGAAGGTAGAGACAGAGAGATGAAGGCAATAGTGGAACAGATAGGTGACTGTGCATTGACCTGCCTGGGAGGAGAGAGTGGAGCCACGGTCCGGAGGAACAGTCCATGGGGAGAACACAAAACAGTAGCTGGCTAGGGAATAATAATAATAATATACACAAAAAAAAACCGAGACAGCACGGAGAAAAAATGGCCTAGTGACTAGAAAGAACTGGCAAGTGACTGAGGAGTGAAACCGGGTAATATAGTGATTGATCTAATCAAGTGCAGCTGGTGATAAGGGAATGAGGAACAGGTGAACGTGATTAGTATAAATGGGCAAGAGACAGTAGGAAAGGTGAGGGAGGCCAGAGCGGCCGAGCAAACCTGACATTTACTGTATTTTATTTTAAATCTCATGTGATCATTTTCCCCTTCCCGTGTCTGCGCTGTTCTCGTTACAGTCTTAAAACGAGGGAAAGGCAAGAAAGGAATGAATGACCTGATCGGTGCCAGGGGTGGGGACAATCCTTTCACAGACATCTCTTCTGTTGGTAAGCCCTACATCTTTTGTTACCCAAAGCCACCAGCAGATTGCCTCTGACCTTCACATGTTGCCTGTTCACAGAACTGACCTTTGCAATAAAAGCAACTGTAGAAGCCTGTTTTCTACAATGAACATAACCATGTCCTCAGACTCTCTGGTCTCTATTTGCCAGATTAATGTGTCATGTCACCTCAGCATTATAAAACATACTGTTAAATAGGTTGTGCAATCTTAACATTATCAATGCTGATTCCACACCATATGGATTTGGAGACCTAATGCCTTTTCTCCTTGCAGTAGAAGTGTTTCAGCTTGAGGGAAATGAAATATAATTAACTTTTCTAATTAGATTGTTAAATTACAGTAGCCAGAAAATAGCCTCCAGCATATTCAAAAGAGACTTTCTGATATTAATGGACTTCACGGTCCCACACAAAGACATTTAATTGCTTGTCAGTAGGTTAGAAGTAAGCAAAAGCATTGTAATGTACATCATTTTGTTGCCTTCGGTTTTAAAATGCTTCTTTTCTGTCTACTGACTGTTTCATGTCATGCCTGGTTTTCATAACATGAAGAGCCAAGGGAATAGATATACTGTACAGTCAAATGTAGTTCCAGCTCACTTGTTCTATACATGAGGCCTGCAATTCTGCTGCACAGCAGGAGGGTTTTACTTGAATGATTGAGCTGCTGAACTTAAAATGAAAAAGGAGTGTTCAGGTGAATTAACATTATGCTTTCTGTTCCTTTGGAGGGATTGTTCCTTTAGTTCAGTGTGCAGTCTTTGCAACAAATTTGTGGAATCGATTTCTACCCAACTATACTGCTATGTTTCTTAAAAACCTGTAACTGAGCAATAGCACAACTGTAGGACCAACTCTGTACACAAACACATGTGGGTGACCTGAGGCAAAGTGCAGTTCTGATGGGTGGACACAAAAAGAGCAGGATGAATATATCATTGTTAGGAAGAAAACCAGCTAATTGGTTTGAGGCAAAAGTCCCAAAACACCAATATGCAGCAGGCTTAAGGAAACATATTGTACAGCACCCAGAATCCCCACTGAAAGAAGGATGCTGCTCTGGACAACATTATCCAGCTCAGACTGGCTTTACAGGGAACTGTGGTCTCTATGCTAAGCTAGAGTAGTCTGAGCAAGCAGAAAAGCAGGTGTCATTTGAAGATCTTGATGAATGTGGTGCTGATGGAAGAAAACACACAGTGATTCACTGTGAAAACTGTGAAACAGTGACAAATATTAAACCAATGCAGACTTGCACATTTCCTCTCTCACCGCTTCGTCATTACTTCCAGCTCCGCCTGGCTCTCCATTTGGTCGAGCCAGTGTGAAAAGCAGCGGAAAGATGGACAGCTCTTCTTACTTCCGGCGTAAGGAGAAAAGGATTCGTTTCTTCATCCGACGCATGGTGAAAGCTCAGAGCTTCTACTGGATCGTTCTGTGTCTGGTGGCCCTCAACACTCTGTGTGTGGCCATAGTCCACTATGACCAGCCCGAGTGGCTTACAAGGGCCCTCTGTAAGTCGCACATGCAAATACACTCATGCTCACACACATTGGTTGATGATGATGGCACATTAAACTAGTTTTTTTTTTTTTTTTTTTTTTTTTTGGTTTCTACATGTTTTACACAGACACAACAGAGTTTGTGTTCCTGGGGTTGTTTCTTACTGAGATGACCTTGAAGATGTATGGCCTTGGGGCAAGGAATTATTTCCACTCCTCCTTTAACTGTTTTGATTTTGGGGTAAGTTACTGTGGTCCTTAACACAGAAAGGATCAAAATGCTAACCAGCAGTGAGTTATGTTTGGATGCTGATCGGGTCATTGTTTTAAACTGTTGTAAACAGCTTGTTAAAACAGAGCCAAATACTAACTTTATCCATTGCCCTCCTTTCCAGGTGATTGTGGGAAGTATTTTTGAGGTGATCTGGGATATGATTAAACCAGGAGCATCATTTGGTATCAGCGTGTTGAGAGCCCTGCGACTGCTCAGGATATTCAAAGTCACTAAGTGAGTTCACGCACACATCTACAAACAATAAGCACAATAGGTTTCAGTCAGACAATTTTGTTTTAGATTTTTGCACCTGTCTCTCAAACTTTAAAGACTGCACCTGTCATCATGGCGCCACATATGGCTGCCTTGGTAGCATGCTCTCTTGTGCTTGTTTTTCCTCATTTCTTGGCCTCCTGCAACCCATCCTGGATTACTTTCACCAGAGAGGAACTACTAAACATTTAGTGGTTGTAGGACCTGAGAGCAGAGACCAGGAATCTCCCAGATCAGGAACCAGTCACCATCACTATAGCAGTCATCCAACAGCAAGTCAGAGGCTCAAAACATCGGTTGCTGATAGGTAGAGCAGTCACCAATGACTCAAGATCCAGACAGACCAACCTGAGTACAGTCTGGATCAACTACAGGAAAGCCTATGACTCAGTGCTGCACACATGGATCTGGGAATGCCTGGCACTATACAAAGTTAACAGGACACTAAAGACTTTCATTAAGAACTCAATGGGACTGTGGAAAACAACCCTGGAAGTCAACTCTGGACTATTTGCACAAGTGAACATCAAGTGCAGCATATACCAAGGTTGACGTACTATCCCAAGTGGTTAGCGCTGTTGCCTCACAGCACGAAGGTTCCAGGTTCGTGTCCTGGCCAACCTGCAGCCTTTTTGTGCGGGGTTTGCATGTTCTCCCTGGGTTCTCTGGGTACTCTGGCTTCCTCCCCCAGGTTGATTTGTGACTCTAAATTGCCCTTAAGTGAGTGTGGTTGTTTGTCTATGTGTGATGGACTGGCCCAAAGTCAGCTGGGATTGTTTCCAGCCCCCCGCAATCCTCTTCAGGATAGATAATGGATGGATGCACTATCCCTGCTGCTGTTCTGCAAAGGCTTGAAGCCCCTCAGTTAGATCATCACAAGGAGTGGGTACAGATACAAGTTCAAGAGAGGAGCTACCATCATCCAACTCCTCTACATGGATGACATCGACTCACTGATCCACTTGACAGGGATCTTCAGTTAGGATATTGGGATGCCATCCAGACTGGATTATTGTGCTGGAGCATAATAATAAGAAGGGATATAATAAAGACTGATGGGTTAGAACTATCAGGGGGCCACATAGCATACAGACCACCTACAAGTACAGTCATAGTGCAAACATGGATGTGCTGACAGTGATAGAGCAGAACTTTTCATGCTTTTCATGCCACCATTACTAACTGTGTGTCTCCTCTCTCCCGTATTGTGTCCTTTCTCCCTGTACCTTTCTGCAGGTTGCCCTGGCTCTGGAGCTGTACGTTTCTGATGAGCAGTCACCAGCCTCATCAACCTGCCCAGTGTTTGATTGTTTTGTTGTTGTGTTTGCTGTGTCTTGTTGCTTTTCTTTATCTCTCTCCTCTATCCACTCACCAGGTCGAGGCAGAAGGCCACCCACCAAGAGCCGGGGTCTGTCAGAGGTTTCTTCCGTTAAAGGGAGTTTTTCCTTCCCCACTGTCACCAAGTGCTGCTCGGGGAGATTTGTTTTATAAAAAATAGCAGACTTCATTGACATAGCAACAATGAGAGCCAGTTGGTTGCCCACAGTCCAGGTCTAAAAATATCCCTAATAAAACAGGCAGAGCAAAACTTGTCAGATCTCTTAGACTGTCCTTATGCTGACTTTGAATTAGAAGGGTTGAAAAAAGGCCTGGTGACTATGTGGAAGCATATCATTTACACCTCCCTAAGCATGAAGAGAAAGTCATCTTTTATCACTATGAGTTTGACAGGACTAAGGTTCAGAGTCAGTATCAGTGTGCTGAGAGCCCTGTGACAGAACCAAGGCTTAGAAATGTGGATCTCTTACCAATATGTGTGTAAAATATGCATACATGCTGTTTAGGTAACCTATTGTAGAGCATACCATTCCATGACACATCAGTAGCCTGGCTTATTCTGAAGATAATAAATGCTATGCCTAAGCACGTGCCAAAGTACTGCAAATTAAAGAAGTGAAAACCATGCAAAAGCAGACGTGTTCAAAGGGTTAAAGCATTCATTCAGTCATTGTCATGATGAGCTGTCTAATGAGAACATCTACGGCCAATATATTCTTTTAATTGTTTGAAATCTGTGTGAATTGTATTGAAACGCTACAGAGATACAAGATCTTTTAATGAATTTCTCTTTGAACTGACAGTCCTGTCAGAGACTGATGACAATCCTTTTAATTCAGTGGGTTATCTGCAGTGCTGCGATTCACTGGAAACTGGCAGCTGTAGACCCCGACACATTGATTTGTTTTGTGCCACCTACAGCTTTTACTGCCAACTTGTTCCTGTCTTTCCTCCTCTGTTTGGTTGTTCTGCCTCTGTCTTTTCTCAAGTTTTGTTATGTAATTTTTTTTGTTTGTCTGAATATGTTTGTGCTTACAAAAGTTATTTTCTGTCCTTAGAATGTAAAAACATCATTCTCTTTTTGTGTTTTCTGCTTCCTCTCAGATACTGGAGCTCGTTGCGTAACCTTGTGGTTTCCCTCCTTAATTCCATGAAGTCCATCATCAGCTTGCTCTTCCTCCTCTTCCTCTTCATCGTAGTCTTTGCTTTACTGGGCATGCAGCTCTTCGGAGGACAGTGAGTAATCTCTCTAACCTGTCATGCTCTCTCAGCATGTTTTCCTCCTCTTTCCATCCATCTACCATCCAACACACATGTACACAGACATTCTCTCCTCTTCTTCTCTACCCATCCCTCACTCTGACTCTCCTCCCTGCGTGTGATCCTGGTCCTGGTGACAGACGTGTTGACACAGTAGGTAGCTGGCAGAGCAGCAGCACCAACAGCAGCCATTTAAGATCGCTGTCAGCATTATCTCCGAGTCTTCTAATGACAGGAACACCTTGTGTTTCTGTGCTGGCTGCACTTAAAGCTACAGTATGTAACTTTTTTCAAATATTTTTGTTGTAGAAATATGCACCAAAATTTGTCTTAATGTGGATAGGTGCTGTTGAAGCCTCCTGTGATTTAGACTCATTGAACAGCTTTGGCAGCAGTGCAGAGGTTTTGAGCAGGACTGACCTCTCTAACCAATCAGAGATTGCCAATTATTTCTGCTTGATCAGTATGTTCTGTTGCATTCTCATTTCCTGTAATATCATAATAACAAATATCTGAATAGCTGGGCAGAGCGTGGTAGATCGTAGTAGAACATTATCCTTTAAACATTTTAAAAGCAGACTGGAAAGTTTATGGAATAACTGGCTGTCACATAATAATGGTGGCATTAATAATGGTCATTGTCCATTAGAGGCAAAGGAAGAAGTATATAAGTGTTAAAATATCACAAAATCTCTTAGGGAAAAGTTTTGTGGTTGTGCGTACAAAGCCTAACATTCGCACCGAAGTCAGCTGTTTGCGTTACATGTTCTAGTTTCTTAGTTCTTCTTTTTCCTTTTGGGTTTATTTGAAAGGCACTAACAACTGTTGTTTAAACAGGAGGACTTTAAATATGCTGTAATAAATAACATTATAGTAATGAATTTGATCCATCAAAGACCAACATGAAGATCTGAATGTTGCGGAGCCCTCAGTCTGCTTTAAAGATTTAGGTGGCCAGCAAGTTTGTTTAGGATTGATGTTCCTTAATCTTGTAAGTGAAAGGAAATTTGAACCAGACTATATAGGTTGTGGGATTTTTGCCATTGAACAGCTGTGGTATTTATTTATGAACATGTTTTTTTTTACCGTTCTGCTTGAAGCTATGCAGCTATGCTTGGCAAATGTACTCAGAGTTTGAATTTTGTTCCTTTGGTGGTTTCATTCATTTTTTTTTTTTATAATCAGAAATATTTTGTACCACAGTTTTACCTTGTGTGACTTAAAACATTTTGAGATAAATGTTTCCATAGCCTTTAAAAAAGCTTGAATCTACACTTGAAGCAGGTTGTTAGGCTGCCGAGCTTCATTAAAATCACTGGTAAGTTTGTACTGAAGGCTTTGAGCTCAGATGGTTTAAGTCACGTGTGTTGTTACATTTGCCATCACTGCAGCAGGTGGTGTACACTCTCAAGGGGAATGTCACTTTCACACGAAGTCATGTCACGTCAGACTGACAACCTTCACAAACACCACACCACCACTGGATGACTTTGAAGCAGCAGGCTGTTGCCATGGCGCCAAGCCTTAAAATCAGTCCTGACCATCATTAGCGTTGCATAAGTCTTTGTTGATGGACAAGTGTGAGATGAGTCTGACGTCCACATGGTGCTTCCAGCCAGTTGAGCACATCAGACCAAGCACACTGTTCTCTGCAAATAACACCTTTACAAATTTCATTGCTCTGTTGAGTCCTATATTTTTACCCTAAAGTCTAAAATTGTACCCAAGGTGTCAAATATTCTGAATAAGTTGATGGTAAATTTGCAGGTGATGTCTGTGTATATTTCAGAAAATGCTGAATTATATCAAAACTAAAGTAAACACATCCATTCGACAGGCAAATTAACTCTTTAATTTAAAAAAGAAGAAGAGGAAGATTAACTGGCTTATAAAGAAGAAGAAGTGCTTTGTTATATCCACACTTTATTTTTGGCTCAGATATTATTTCCCCTCTCTCAAAGCACCAGACGTAATCTCCTGTTATAATGGTGAGAATTGAACAATAAACAGCTTGAGGCAGAGGACAATTTCCCTGCTGAGACTCACAGAACATCACCGACTGTTTGGGAAGAAATATGTGATAAGCTCAGAGGAAATGTGCAGAAGTTAGTGTAACAGAATAATGAATATTTCTTGTTGCCGCTTCTTAACTTTCAGTTTTAAAGGTGCAGACATTCTTTGTTGATTAAGTCTGACTTTGTCAAACACAGGCGACATGGCATCTTCTCAGGCTTCTTCACAGGCTCCGAAACTGTGTAACCCCCTGGCTGGACTGTGCCAGTCACTTCAAAAAAAGATTTTTTTAAATCAGAACGTCATCCGCTGTACCTCCAGTTTGACGCTGTCTCAGACTCTTTATGGCATTTATAACTTAGCATTTAACCCAAAAAAAGACAAAAGTCTTGAGATGAATTTATATTAAAATAATTCCTGATCATGCCATGCAACAATCTCCAACAAAAATATATTACAACTTCAACCTGTACTTTTCCTGTAATTTCTGCAAATCGTACAGTCTTTGCAGTCATTCATCAGAATTGGCCAATGTGGAAGAATGTCAGTTTCATCAGTCACTGCTGATTTTGCTTATAAATAAACAATAATATGTACAATATGGAGACGACTTGGCTTGGCTGGAACTTGCTACCTCAGACAGTAGTTTTCACCGGGCTCTGTGTCACACTCAGTAAACCTTTTCAGTTACTTTATGAAGCATGTTGGCAGCACTACCTGGTGTGGCTGGACATATTACAGTTACCTTATAAGCTGAATACAGATTTTAAAAAATGACTTCTTTGTTGCATGCCTCTGCCAACCAGTCTAATTCATTGAAATGGGAAAGACATGAGGTCACTGTGACCTTGACCTCTGGATGCCTTTGCCAATTTTGGAGAAATCCCTGTAAGGTGTTGCTGAGATATCACATTTGCAAGAATGGGCTGGACATATGGATGGACAGCTGGAAAAGAATGCCTTCATCCACAGCCGTTGCTGGTGCAGAGGCATAAATACACCATTCTGCAGAGATCAGAGCTGATTTGGGTTGTAATAATAACAGAATACCTCAGTGAGATCCAGGAGGGACTGATTAGTTGCAGTTTGAGTGTATGTATAGCAAGTGTGCTCTTTGTATGCAGCACTATATTGTACATATAAAAGGCAGCTTAATGGTTTGACTTCTCATGAGGCTGCAGGATGCTTTGTGTTTCCTGATGCATTTCACAGTCCCAGTACGTGCAGATGTTTTTCCAGTACCATGCAGCTGTTACCTCTAGTCCACTTGTAGATGTCTGTGTGATCTCAGGGCTGTGGGTTTGCATGGACCAGTACAATGTAAACACACCGTTATTGTCTGAATGATTAGATGGGAGAGGGCACAAACGTGTGGGGGAGTTTGCCCTCACATGACTTCTGTTTCAGGACTGATTTAATAAAGTCCTGTGTGGATATCCTGTGTAAGCAAAGCAGCATGCTCTCAATCCCTGTTATCAGAGTAAACAGAGGTTGGTACATACAGGCGCAACAGCAAGCCGCCACCGCCACCGCCACTCCCTGCACTGAGTCCATTAATCCTCAAGCAAGGAGGAAATAATAGAGAGAGGAGTGTAGGAGGGAGGAGGAGAGGGTGGGGAGTGGGGAGCAGGCAGGGAGAAAAGAGAAGAAAAGGGTGTAATGAAGAAAAAGATGGAGGCAAGAGCAGTGAAAGGCAAAAAAGGAGAAAGGCAGCAGGAGAGCAGCATGGGGAGAGAGAGTATGATGACATACAGTACCAAGGGAGAAACAGCTTATTGAACTGGTTGCCCCTCCCCCTTCTCTTCCAACTCACCTTTTCCATGCCCATTTTGTGCTTCCACAAGCATCTCCATCATGCATGTGCATGAGCCAGACTGATACATGCTGGCTGATATTATTCACCAAGATTGGGTTCTCTCAGATTCACCACATGTAGGTATATACCCAGTCACTACACACATGTGAGATTGTTGCATATCATATTCCAAATCTGTGGGCATTCATCTGCTGCTACAAACAGCTCTTTGGGAGGAGGATGCAGGGATTAGCTCTCATTCAGCCACAAGACCATGTGTGTGGATCAACATCTCTTGGAGATAAAAAAGTGTCAGATGACTGTAACTGTACAGGTGTAGTGGGCACACTGGCCTATACATTTGCAATATATCTTATCAGAGTTTTTTTTTTTTTATTTAATTGAAATAACTGACTGATTAATTAATTGATCAGAACTGAATTGTATCTGAGGACAGATGTAATTTTCCAGTTTTTAAGTACAGATTACAGGTTTACGTGCTCGCTCACTCATTTGGCAACAATTTCTTATAAATATTCTGTTCTGTCTGCAACTTAGGTTAGCTGGTGACTCTAAATTGCCTGTAAGAGTGAGTGTACATTTTATCCACTTTTTATTTGTTTTTATTTTGTTGTTATTCTGTTTATGTGTGCGCATCGGGAGCCATTGAGCTGAAATCAAATTCCTTGTGCTTTAATATAACTTGGCAATAAAGGTTGATCGATTGATTTTTACACAGTGCTTTTAAAACATCACACATCAGAAATACCTTACATAACTGCTCTGCAACTATTCTTGAATTTTAACTCAGCTTATAATATTTCCTTCTTCTGTTCAACCCAAAATATTTCCTTTTTCATTTAAAGATGAACTGACAGTTGAAATGATGAATGATCTGCAATAATCATTTTCAGTTTGAATGACCAACCCATCTTTAAGCGTGTCTTTCGAGATGGCCATCTGCACTGCTTCTACTTTAACCCACTTCATGCACACAGCTGTAGTCTTGAGGTGCTGAAGCACTGACTCACTTCCCTGCTTGGCACATCAAGGCTGACTTGGTTTCTGTTCTTGTCAGCTGGGAGCACTTCTTCTGTGGTTTTAAAGCTGTCACAGTGCACAAGAAAAAAACTCAAATACCCAGATTCCTGCAACCAGCAGTCTCAGTATTGTAAAGTTATTTTAATACAGATGTCACCTTGTCAGCAGCGGTTGTGTCTTCAGGTGAGCAATGAAGCCAAAAAAGATAAAATTCCTCTTTGTGCTTACAGCATGACATGTGAAATGATGCAGCCCTGTGCTGCCGAGGCAGGATGTTTTGGACAAGACGGTTGGAGCCTGGGCTCCCTGGTGTTTGCTGCTGCTGCTGCATCTCTGTCCTGCTCCTTCTGTCTCATCCATTATCAGTACAAAACAACTCCCATCATCTATGAATATGCTCACACACCTATCCTATACTTGTTGTACTTGTATCTGTGTGAGGACCAATGTGAGGACCCTCCCAGTTTGAGAACCACTGGATCAGACCAAAGGGGAGTGCATTATGTCAGTGATGGTCCTCACAAGTTCATTGGGGATCATTGTGGTGTTACTGTAAACAGAACAAGTGTTACAGACAAGGAGAAAATGAAGACTTGGTGCAGCTGGGACCCGAGGTGTGAATGTGTCAGTGTTTGTGCCATATCAAATTTCCATTTGTTTGTATCTTCTCTTGAATTGCAGGTTGATGCCATTAAGATCTGACTGAGTGCATTTTATTTTGTTTTTCATTTCCTTATAATATTTTTTCCAACTGTGATTCTTTTAGATTTAACTTTGAAGATGAGACACCAACAACAAACTTTGATACCTTCCCAGCAGCCATCCTCACTGTGTTTCATGTACACCCCCCAACACACACACACACACACACACACACACTTTGTGGATAAATGAGAGTGTATTGACTTCATGGAAAAAGAACAGCTGTTATCAGTCATTTTAATTAGAGTGAATGACTGGTCTGTGTCGCTTCTGTCCTCTAATGAGCTCACTGATAATCCTTCAATTAGTCTGTGCTCATAACCTTTCACTCTGTAAAGTCATTTAATTCAACACTCGGAGATTTGTACAGCGCTTTACAATCCGCCCGCTTCCCCAGCATCATTCTGACTCTTGTCTTCCTAAGATTCTGACTGGTGAGGACTGGAACGCCGTGATGTACCACGGGATTGAATCTCAAGGAGGTGTTCGCCGCGGCATGTTCTCCTCCATCTACTTCATTGTCCTCACACTCTTTGGCAACTGTATCCTCTTTCACATCATCTAATTGTAACTACAGTATGTTTGTGTCAGAAGGAGCAGGATTCATATCTGGTAATGCTATCAGTTCCTTATAGGATGGAGCAATACCTGTTTGTTTTGATTTGAAATGAGAGAAATTGATAAACAGCACACTCAAAATCTAACAAATTAAAAAAATGGAGTGTTCTTAATTTAGCAGCTCTGAATATTTACACATTAAATACTTGAAAACTCAGAATTAGTTACAAAGTTAAAATGACCTGGAAGTTAACCAGTTTCACTAGAGGCTGATGAACACATCCTTTTCCCCTTATCGTGTTGCTATTCAGACACCCTCCTGAATGTCTTCTTGGCTATTGCTGTTGATAACCTTGCCAATGCACAAGAGCTGACTAAGGTAGAGCTCTGAATGCATCAATAACACATAGCAATATAAGTGTATTTGTTCTCCTTCACAGTAAAACATTTCAAACCAAAGCACTGCATGTTGTGATAGGATTGCATTTTTTGTCTTGGTTCTCACTGGCTAAAGGATGAAGAAGAGCAGGAGGAAGCAGCCAATAAGAAGCTTGCCCTGCAAAAAGCTTTGGAGGTGAAGGAAGTCAGCCCAGTGTCAGCAGCCAACATCTCAATCACCGCGTAAGTTTCCAAGCATCTCCCTCCTCTGCCAGCAGCTGTGTTCAGTCAGAAGGTGGAGATAAATGTCCCTTCAGTGTGTTGTCCTTCTACATGTTCTTCCCTGTCAGTCTGAAATGTTTGTGTGTATACACACTGTGTACATTCCTCTCCCACTGTGAGAATGCTCCTGTACTGTTACCTTGTTATCACACCTCAATGTCTATCTTCTTTAACAGTAAAGGCAATTAAGGAAGCTTTGATCAACAATCCATGTTAGTTTCCACCACTGGTTTTACAGTACTTTGTTCATTTTTAGCCCCTTTCACCCTTAAAGGGTGTTATTTAAAAAACCTAAATTATAAAATTTCAGGTTTATTTTCAGTGTGTGGGGGGGTACCACTAGTAGCATGGATCAGTGTTTTTAAGAATGGGATGTTGAACAAATCTCAATTTACCTCAATCCAACTTTATTTGTTCACCAAAAAAAAAACTCCACAAGAGCAACTTTAATTCAGAACCATTATGGATAGTAGCTTTGAAAGTCATTTGGCCAATTAATAAAATGATAATGTTATGCATTCACACAGTTTGCAATTAAAAATGTTATATTTATTTTTGCATCCCCTGGATAAAATGAAAGCCATTAAGCAGAGTAGCAGGGGCATGAGATACAAGCACATCAGTGTTATGAAAAAGATACAAGAAAAGCTTAATCTTTGCTGTCAGAACTTCCTGTTTTCTGCTAAAACGTTTAACCCACCCACTCTTCACCACAACCCAGTGACTGACGGGACTGATGTTTCCTGTCAACAAGGAAGTTATTTGCGAGTCCAAATTCAGCCTATTTTTACAGCCTTGACAAACCCTGAAATTATGAGTCTGTTAAGAGATATCTGGTATGAAACTGGAGCGTTTTTATTCTTATGGCTGATTGTGCATTTTGCTCACATCAGATGAATTTCAGTGGCTGTGTGTTGAATAGTCCAGCCCTTTGTATAACATGCAGTGAACTTTGATTCACACACTCTCCCTAATTGCTGTCCTCCTCACTCAGACATAGACAATCAGTTCTGTAGCTCATTGGTTAGCTAACTTTCCAGCTGTTCCCATTTTCACTGTCTTCACTTTTAACATGTGATCCTGTGCATTATTTTCAGTGTTCTCACAATATTTTTCATGTGAACATTGAACAATGTGGTTAAACTGGTAAATGAGTGTGCACACAGGGTTTCATTACAAAATGATTACTTATTTTAGGATTAACCATATTAGATTTTTTTTTTTTAATGAATGTATTCAAAACTCTTAAGTTTGTACTATGAAAGTATTATTTCAATAATCAGTTTGCTCTTTTCTGTTTTGGAATGAAACTCCAAAACCTTTTTTTTTTGTTGTTGTGGCATTATTCAAGTGGGTGCATGGATTAGTCCGTTACTGTAAAACAGGAGGGCACAGGGGGACACACAGACTGACTGAGAGTCCGCTTGTCCCCTTCAGATTTGTGTCTCATTCTTTCTTTTGTTTTTGTTCTGCATGGACAGTTTTGTAAAGCAAAATCAAGATGCACTCTCTCGCAGGTCGTCCATCAGCAGCATTCAGTCACTGTGAGTTACCGCTCTCTGTTACAATATTCTCTTCCTCCTCCCTTCTGCTGTTCCTCTCCTCATTGCCTCTGCATTCTGGTTATTCATTTCTACTCATGTCCTCTCCTTTTTTCTTATTTACTTCTTTACTTCTCCTCTTGTCCTCTTCTCCTGGTCTACTCTCCTGTCTTCACGTGTCCATTACATTCATCTTTCTTCCTCATTTCCACTCCTCCTCTTCTCCTGTTTCTTTTCCTCTCCTGTCCTCTGGACTTTCATAAATTGTACTCTATCATGTTTTCATTGCTACTAAAGTGAAATGTATAAATGGTTCGTATAAAAGGAAATAGTAATCACAACATCCCTCACTGAGCAGAAAGACACAATTGCAGGTAAATAGCACAAACTCATAACACATTTTAGGCTATAGGGCCAGTGTGTATGTGATTTTGTGTGTAAAATGCAGATCCATGAACACAGTTATGCCTTCCTCTGGTCTTAGCCATCCACTGTGTACTCTACTGATGGCTGCCAGTCCTCTGTTCCATGCCATTCATCTTATGTTCTGTGCCCTCTGATGTGAATAATTTGTGTATAAATGTTTAATCTCTCTGAGCGTTGCTATCACTGCAGGCAGTTTGGCATTGTTTATCACAGACCACAGGACATCTCATTAAAAGACAATATGAGTCGAGGCCAAAATTAAATGCAACAGCAAGATGTAACTTCTCTCTCCTCCCCGGTGATCTGCTGTCTGAACTGATGAAAGTGCAGATGGAGTGTTGGAGATGCTCACATCTCATCTCTGAGATAATTCGTTTCTCCCACATTGCCCTTCTCCTGTGTCTTTCAGTGTGTGTGCTTTGTTAATATGTCTCACAAAGTAACTCTGCTCTCCCTTCAGTGTTTCATCTTTCACTTCCCTTTCTAAATAAACCCAACCTGTATGTGTGTTGTTCACCTGTCTGCGGATATCTGTCCTGTGTCCTGTGTGTTCTCTGTCTGTGTCTTCTTTTAGGAGTTATACTGTCTACTCCTTCTCCACCCGGCGAATCTTGAGGTACAAGTGACCAGATGGAACAAACTAAACTAACTCATAAAGCCCCATGTAAATAATCCATACTGTACAGGAACAGTATGCAATACTTCATGCATGTTAGATGGAAATACAGATATAGCAAAGTTTTTTTATGTGTTTTTGAGTCTTTTCACTTATTCAGAAATACATATGTTCAAAAACATTTCACCCATGTGTGTAGTCTTACCACGTTCTTTCAACTCAGAAATCAGCTTGTTGTTTTTGTTAAAGAAGATAGAGTACATGACAGGAATGGTCGCACCATGTTAGACATGACCTGGTTCAAACAGAATTACATGCATGTCAAATTAGATGAGATGTTTGACACCTGACTAATTTTCTTACCGCCCAGTCAGAAATCTTGCAAGGAGCTTCTGTGCGTGGCTGGTTAATGGTGGAGCGATCCTTCTTCCACTCCCCAATAATGGCCCCAGTGGTGCTTATGGGAACATTTAGGAGCTGAGAAGTGACATGTGCTGTTCCTTTGCTGCTCAACAATCTTGTTGGAGAGATCTTGGGAGAGCTTTTTACCTTTACTCATCTTGAGATGTTTCTTATATGACAGCTTGGCAACAAATGATATATTCACAGGTGAACAATTCTTTTTAAGAGAGTAGAACCATGAGCAGCCACATATAATAACTCAGCTGATTTTATTTAGTACAGGTAAGGAAACTAAATAGTGGAGCCACCTGGTTCAAGTGCCTTTCAGTACTTTTTCCCTGTGTTGCAATTTAAAAAGCACATAACATTTTTTTCAAAATACAAATAAGTACAAACTAGATCAATTTTTCCAGAGGTCACTACTGTGGTTTTTGGTATTGTGACGCTGATCATCAAGTGGCCTGGTTAGTTTGTTTTTAATAGGTTATTTGCTTATATACAAAGGGGTGTATTATAGTTGATTTAACAGCTTTGATTGACGATCTTTGATACGTCACTCAACTTCTGGTCACAATTTCACAACTTTCGTTGTATCTTTGATACGTCACTCAACTTCTGGTTGCAACTTCACAACTTTCGTTGCAACTTCTAGTCCATAAAAGATCCAAACCATTTGTACAAAAGGAGGAAACCTTGAAAAACCATGAAAGCACTGCCAAGATTATTCGGCCTTATGTTTTCCTGATCAGTACGGTGCTTAAAAAAGAAAGGCTCAATATTCCCACATTTATAGAAGCATTATTCACTCGTATTGCTTGCATTAATGGTACAAAATGAATACCACATGTTGGTACAGGTTAAATAAGTTAAAACATGCAAAAGAACTTCTGTAGCCTCTTATATGCTCTTATAGAAAGTATTCATTTTGATTCCACCTGGTGAAAAACCCCAGAAAAGTGTGATTGAACTATTTTGCAGGCACATCTTTAATATTAAGGACTCAAAGACCTACCATAATCAGGTCATGTCATGACAACAGAATGTAGAGTTCCTCAGCATCAGACAGACTTTACCATGGAGCTGCTTTCTCCATATAACACTCAAGCATGGTAAGTGAAAGCTTTACCATGGTGAACATTTGTTGATACATCCATAGACCACCTCATGTCTGGCTCTTTCTTACATGCTTTACATTATTATGTCCTTAATGACAAGGTTTAAGTAAAGAAAAAAAATAATAATTATTAGCAGAAACTAGTGTGGCTATGGATGAAACTGTGGATGGTGGTGTTCACCCAAAACCCATACAAAAAAAAGAAAAGAAAGGAAGTAAAGACAGAAACAATACACAAAATGTTTCTATGTCATTGCTTTTCATCATCACATGACCTTTTCCTGTGGGTTTGATTCCTGTGTGCAGAAAGGAGCAGCAGCGGTCAGCAAAGACCCTGTCAGTGTGGGAACAGAGGACCAATCAGCTGAGGAGACACAACTTGAGGGCCAGCACTGAGGCCCTGTTCACTGAGCTCGACCCACAGGAGCGCCTGCAGGTGTCCTCCACCCTCCACCTGCATCCCGACATGAAGACTCACCTAGACCGGCCACTTGTGGTAGAGGGCAGAAACGGTGACCAGACCAGCAGGCCCTCTGAAGGAGGGCAGGTGGAGGCAGGGGACACCCAGCATGACAGGGTGGGAGATAACCTCCACACACATGCCAGAAAACATCACCGGCACCGGGACAGGATTGGGGAGAGCAAGGATGGAGGTGACTGCCGGGGAGGAAGGCACCATACCCATCACAGCAGGACCAGAGATCACATCACTGATGGTGCCCAGACTAAAGAGAGGAGAGGAGAGAGGATCCATGGCCCTGATGGAGGACAGGGGCACAGGCACCACCACCAGGCTGGTTCCCCTGAGGAAGAGGCCAGTGACATACGAACAGGAGGAGAAGAAAGGGGGCATCGGCATCACCGCTCCCATTGTCCACCAAAAGAGGGAAATGGGATGATAGTGAATGGTGCACAGGGAGAGCGGAGGGGGAGGGGAGGAGAGGGGGACAGCAATGGAGAGAGATTTGGACGATGCTCTCGCATAGTCAGAGCTCAGTCTATTCTGGATGGAGACAACTGTAAGGGGAACAAGAATGGGACCAAAGGTCATAGGTAAGGCTGCAGATGTAGATAAAAAATTATCTAATAGTGTTAGTGATATCATTAATGGCTTTACTGTGATCTTACTTTAGGCCTACTCATTAAATGATTTGCAGTTAGGTACACAGTGGTCACCAAACAGCAGAAAGACAAAATCAGAGACTATCTAGTGAACATAGTGGAGCATTTAGCAGCTAAAGAGCTACATTGGAGACCCAAAACAAACACTGGATTCACATTCATTGCAGTAGGTGGTCTGAAATATGACTTGAAGTGAATAGTACTGTTGGTCCAAATCAGCTGGATATGTAAATAAGCAACTGCTTTCTAACCATATCTAAAATATGATGTCAGTGTTTGGTTCAGCTGCACCAGAAAAAAATTGTTAGGATAGCATAGCGGTAAAAGTCTGCTTTTGCTTTGTTGCCACATATGTTGTGGTCTGTCTCCCAGGAAGGCAGATGAACTGATCTAATTTGCCAGAAAAAGCTTGAAGAACCCTGAGAGAAGAGTATTGTGATGCCTCTAATAAGATTCACACCTCTTTTCCCCCAGAGAGAGGCAGCCAGATGCTGAGGAGGACCGCTTCACCTCTAGTCCTCTGCAGCCAATGAAAAGTAGCCCGAGTCTTGGAGAAAAGCAAGAAGATGCTGACAACCAGAAAAACTCCACCAGGGCCAGTCGGGTCGGCCTAAATAGCCACACTATCCACATCCCTGTCACCATCAATGGGCCACCTGGTGAAACCACTATCATTCCCAGTGAGTACAGAACATCATGCTCACAAGACGCGGAGGACGACTGGGAAGGTTGAAGGAAAGAAAATTGAATTAACATTTTGCCCACAAAGTCATTAGGATAATTAAGGCAAATCAAGAATGCCACCACATCACCAGATCTCCACAATGACTAAATTATTATTCCAACACAAATGCATTTGCATTCATTAGCCATTTTTCTGCACTAACTCCAGGTACCATTTTTGTATTGGGAAGAATAATAAAAGAACAAACATTTAACAATCCAATCAGGTCTGAAGAATAATGTGGACGTTTCCTGTATTTCTGGTTCAGAAATACTGCAGCTTTATCTCTACTAGTGCGTCCTTGGACTAAGTTATTATTTCATGATATACTGTAGCTGTCACGCTTAATCTTGTCCACCATCTTATGAGAACCCTGACCGAAGCCTGCATATTCTCTCCATGCCTGTGTGGGTTTCCTCTGGATGATTCCTCCCACAGTCCAAAGACATGCTGATTAAGATAACTGGTGATTTTAAACTGCCCATAGGTGTGATTGTGACTGGTTGTCTGTCTCTACATGCCAGCCCTCTGATAGGCTGGAGACCTGTCCAAGGTGTACCCTGCCTCTCAGCCAGTCGGCTGGGGTGGGCTCCAGCTGCCTGTGACCCTCTACAAAATCAATTTATTTACAGTAAATTGATCAGAGCATAAGTCCCTTAAGATGTCCCACCTCATTTTTGAGGGGGTCCTAATTGATATACTGTAGATATTGCATGGATGAAAATATCACACTTGTTACCAATGTTTGTGCTTCTAAATGAGTGTATTTATTTTTCCGCACCAGTGAACAACATCGACTGTGACAACTTCCAACTCAGTGAGGAGAAGAAAGCTCTGGAGGATGCAGATAATGAGCCTCGGCAGATTCTCCCCTACAGCTCCATGTTCATCTTCGGGCAAACAAACCCGTAAGTTACAACTGACTGACTGAAGGATCAGCTGGCTAAGGATCACATCAGTGATTTGCATGCTTAATCAACTTGGGCTGTATGCTTTCTCTGACCATTTTCTCTGAGTGTCTGATGTGTGATTAGTTGAATAATTTGGGTTGAATTAAGAACAGCATGAATTTCATTAATTTCATTTGTTATGTTCAAGTTTCTACTAATTGCATGTCACAGGGAGGAAGGGTGAGCTGAGACAACTTCTGTCATCTCTGATAAAACCCACTCCTCTCATTTATTTGTATGAAAATCCTGTGTCGAGGCAGAAGGGTACCAGATCTTCACCAAAATGATAAAGACAACAAGACACTGCACTAGCCAATCAAATACCAGTCTTGGTATTGTAGATGAATTTGCAACGACAACAGATTTTTGCTGTTTCTCACATTGCAGTCATTTTGATGAAAGATAAAACACAGAAAAATAAAAAATAAAAATCCTGTCTCAGTTTATTATAAGCGTCCCATAAAATGAGAAAAATCTGTATGAATCTGTATCTCAAACTGAAGTTCAAGAATTATATTGTTTGTTTCTTCCAAAATAAACATCCCCCAAGTGGCTCTACCTGTTATCTGTATAGTACATCCTTTATGTACATAAAAGCACATAGGCAGAGTGAAAGTTTTTGTCCTTCATGGCATCTTTGTGTGGAGTTCTGGGAGAGGGCTGGCTCGGTACATTTACACTGAAAGACTTGAAAACTGTGCATTGAAAAACCTGTGAAGTGGGTGATGGCCTGTGTGATTTTGTTTTGTTATGCTTTGTCAGTGGACTTTTGCACTACTTATGGATTGCCTGTTACAAACTTTAAGTTCAACCTGAAGATACAAGAACATTTTAGGCCAAATATTAATGATGGACTCTGTTGTTACATAATCTGATCCAATGTTCCAAGTCCTGAATGAGAAGAGTTGAGTAGAACCAAAGAAAACTTGGTGTTCCACAAGCTCATTGTAAAAATTTTTCCTGCATTCTGGGAGATTCTGGGGACATGCTGTCCAGTTGGGCCATATTCAAATCCTCTATTACAGAGGTACCATTATTCCAGTTTTCTATAACTAAGGGGGATAACTGTATCTGCTCTGTTCTCCTTTATGCCAACAACATAGTCCTGTTGGCTTCAGAAGGCCGTGATCTCACACCTGGATGGTTTGTAGCAGCCTGGTCTGTAGAGTGTAAAGCTGAGAAGAGGGTCATGGCTGCTGGAAAATGGTGGAGTGCTTTGTCTGAGCTGGGTGCAAGTAGATCCCTTAAGACAGATGAGTTACAACACTGAGGGGTCAAAAAGGGCAGCAGGTCACGTGACTCATGTAGCTTCAAGTAGTTCCAAACAGCCAACTCAGATCCATTGTTTTATATAGAGAACAATGGGATTTATCAGCAAATTACTGCTTTTAATGACTTGTACATCCTTGAAAACAAATTCTGTGTTCTGTTGTTGTAGATAGCTCGGCTAATTTAGCTACTTAGCAAGGTGCCTAACTATTAAAGTGGCCCAGTATTTGAGACAGATGGTTAGAGGGTTGTAAAATGTGTTTTGACACATCACCAACCTAAAATGTCACAAGTGTAATTGTTGTTATTGATGTCAACTTCTTACCTTAAAAGATAGCAGCCAAGTCAGTGTCACTCTATGGCACTGCTCTTAATGTTGGGAACTATTCAACGTTCCCATGATCCACCATTTACTGTAAAGAAAAAGAAAAAATGTTCCTTATAGAGTCAGTGGCGATGTCATCACTCTCCTTAACCCACTCTCGTTGATAGTATCACACCATCTTCTTTATAAGTGATCCTTCAAAAGCTCTTTTTCAAAATTATTAATCCTGGAAAATGCAAAAAGTACACTTTTCAGGTTGGTTTACCTAAAACAAGTCCTGTGTTTATAAAAACCCTGGTAAGCCTGTTACATTTTGATTTGATTAAAAGACACTGCAAGCCCCGACAGCCCTGAGTCACATATTCTCCCAGAGGCTGGCACGTCACACTTTGCCTTTGTGCAATTTTTTGACAAGGGGGGGACGTGCATGTTGTCTGTGGCCTGTTATGGGAGGACATCACCTGAACATACCAAGTGACTTGTCACTGCTCTGTGTGTACTATTACAATCATGTATGTGCATGTGTTTATACAGTATGTGTGTGATCTTGTAGGGTGAGGCGACTCTGTCACTACATGGTCAACCTGCGTTACTTTGAAATGTGCATCCTGATGGTGATTACCATGAGCAGCATCACTCTGGCAGCCGAAGACCCCGTGCAAGCCAATGCAACACGCAACAATGTGAGTCAGACATTGAGACTTCAAGCAGCAAATAAACATGTGGAAGGGCACAACCAACACACTAATTATCAGGCACATAAACACACAAACCAGCATTTGCATGAAAATGTGTACGATTCACAAACAAGTGTATGTCAGTGGGGCTGACTGCCTGATTGATTTGGACTGACTGAAAAGTCCTTCCTAGCAGGGCTTGACAATTTGCCCATATTGAGGCACAAATGGTAGAAAGCAGAAAAACAAGTTTTAAATCACTTTCCAAATGTGGTCATTTTGACTTCTTAAATGACATTTTGTAGAAAACACCAAAAGCGTCATATATCCAGTTTGGCAAAATGCTTCTTTATATCCCAGCATAACCCATCAGCTCATGTTGGGAATAAGAAGCTTATACATGCACACAGACACATGACTGAGATTTTGCATTTTTGACAAACAAGTGCAGCTAATTAATATTCTAGTCAGCGGCACAGAGGAAATCTGAGGTGATGTTGTGCGTGTTGTGTGTTTGTGTATTGTTTATTTGTGTGTGTATGTATGGGTGTTCAGATGTTTGTTTGTGCAGAGAGTACAAAGCTGACAGAGCTTGAGCCCTTCTCACACACACACACACACACACACACACACACACACACACACACACACACACACACACACAGACACACACACACACACACACACAGACACCCAAGATGAAAACATCTGTCACTGGATTTGTTGATACTTCATCTCATATGTTTTAATCTCTGTTTCTGCAGATTCTGAAGTATTTGGATTATGTCTTTACTGGAGTCTTCACTTTTGAGATGGTGATTAAGGTGAGAAGCCTGAGGGCACATGCCCATTTGAACTCTGACAAACCAGCTAAGCCACATTTTGGCAATTAGGAGGTTTAAATCCACCTAGAGCTAAATGGGCTAAATGTGTTTGGGAAGTAGACAGCAGATGTTTAAGTTAAGTGTAACAGTGGTTTTAACAAAATTTCAATTACTATGTTTCTTCATGTGTTATGACTTGCTTCATATCATGTTCAGCCAAATTCACTGTGGTTTAATTCAGACTTTCTGTCATGCTTTGGCCTGCTAATCATGAAATCTCGCACACTGTGCACAGTCCTGCTGTTGCCATTGGCTTTGTGGGTTTTCTCTTCTCACTTATGATAACACCTTCTCCTAACAACAAACACTTTAGATAATGAATGCTCTGAATCACTGAAAAAGTGCTAAATATGAAAACCTGATTTGTATAAGATATAGTATGAAGGAAGGAAAAATCAGAATAGCTCCTCAGTGTCATAGGCCCTTGAAACAAAGAAAATGTCAGTGACAGCTTACTATGTATTGTGTGACTAGATGATTGACCTGGGATTACTCCTTCACCCTGGCTCTTATTTTCGTGACCTGTGGAACATTCTGGATTTCATTGTGGTCAGTGGAGCTCTGGTGGCCTTTGCATGCTCGTAAGTCAACTTTATTTTATTTTCTAATTACAGCAGGCCTTTGAATATAATGTATTTCAAGGGTGGATGAAACCACAAGAACATGTTGAAATAAATCACCACAGGTGTTGTATTGTAGCTGATGTTACCTTCTCTTGAGTGTCCATACCTTTGGCGAGCTAGAATGCTAACATGCTGAGTAGTAGTTACCTCTGCTCCTGTGTTTTGTTCTAACTTACAAATCCGATGTGTTCAACCAGTTACTCCCCTTGAATTCTTTAAACTCTTGTGCTTGGGTTATTATGCCAACCTGACTACAGTATGTCATACTCGTCTTTCATTGTTTCATAGTCTCCACTGCCCCTCTCTGCAAATCGCCTAATGGGCCATGCATAGTTTGGCTGACAGGTTTAAGGTTCAAGGGAACAGAGGTACTAGTTTCTCACCCACAACTGGAGCTCCCTCAGCTCAGTACACTACAGGAATGATATATGACTTTAGTTTGTTGTTTAACAAAATACTAATTTCCTATTATGATTTTTGTTGTTTTAAATCACAACTACTGTCACAGTGAGTGTTTCAAATGTTAAATAGCTGTTTTTACTACATATTCTGTATTGTATGTCCTGACCACTGACTCTATAAATATGGATGTCACCACTTCCCTCCACTATGCAAAAGTGAAGTCAAAATATCCCAGATGCGCCGGCCGCCATCTTGGCATTTTCCAGCCAGATTCCAGCCATAGTAGCCAGCGAGTAGCTGAGTGACGTAGCAGACCGCCAATCAAATCTGTCATCATCTAAAGTACACTCCTTTTTATATCATCAAACAAGCCTAACAAATGTACCAGAAAAAATTACCACTTGTACACCAGTCAGCATGATAATATCTACTAAAAACTAAGAACCACAGAAATCACCTCTGGGAAAAATCTTTTTCATTTGTACTTACTAAGTTTTTGATTCGGCTCTTGTCCCATCCGCTAACATGGAGGGGGCGGAGTTCTTGACCTATACTGCAACCAGCCACCAGGGGAGTCACTTCACTTCTGGGAGCTGTCATGGTGTCCGTATTTTATACAGTTGATGGTTTGGACATTCCAAACCTAACAGATGCGGTGAAGGTGAATTTTCTCTATGTAGTATACTGGGATATCTTGGAGTGGTTTATTGTGGTTATACTATACTGACTTACTGAAAAAAACATCCTTCTTCACAAAGCTGTACATTTTTACCTCCTCTCACACTGATTTTGAACAGGAAAATTGCCTGTTTTCCCTTAATCGCAATAAAGTGGCAATATTGAGTAATAAGCACTCAGCTGGACAGAATCCCTGCATCCCTTGGTACTGGCCCAGTTTGAGCACTGGTTAATGTTGCTGTGGTTACTTGAATTTCATTGTATTTCACATGCTGATATAGAAATTAATCTGACCACATTTATGTTCAAAGTATGATTTTAAACAGGCACCTTGCAGTCAAGTGGAAATAAATGTTAACCATAGCCACAGTATAAAGGGAGTTGCCTTGAAGCATACAGACCTGTATTCTGGGTCTCCAGTGTAAGAAGGTGATCACATAATCTGTTTCAACCAGCGCTGGATGCTATTTCTCATCTGTCACAATTTCACATATCAACTTGAAATGCTCCACTGTTTGTCACCTGTGTATTTTTCTTTGTAACGCCTTCTGCTGCTCTGATTTTTTTTTTGTTTTGCCTGCTGTAGACCTTTACTGTTTTTATGCCTCCCTGTTTTCTATCTCTAGCTGACCCTGTCCCTGTCTTCTTTCTTTCACTTTTCTCCTCCCTTCTTTATTTTCTGGCTTCGATTGCTTTCAGGAGTCTTATGGGGTAAAACCTCTTCTCTCAGCCCATGTATTTGTCCCTGCACTTGTCTTCCTGTTTATGTCTTCTGCTTTCCATTCCTGTCCATCTTAGCCAGTGTCATTTGAGGAGTCTATAGATATGTCTTCAGCAGTCTTCATCTAAGTCTTTGAAGAAAAGTCATAGTTTGTTAAATGTTATTCTTATCATCACTGCCACAATCACAGTTTATTCAGCTTGTGTTATATAACCGTGTTTATGTTACATCTGTATTCAGGTTACATAAGTGTAGTTATCTGTTTTCTATTCATTGGATATACTTTATGTGTATCTGTAGGAACGATATACATAATGCACAGTGGGGCTGCAGTGTCCATCCATCCATCCATCCATCATCTATACCGCTTATTCCTGATCAGGGTCACGGGGGGGCTATTGCCAATCCCAGCTGACACTGGGCAAGAGGCGGGGTACACCCTGGACAGGTCGCCAGTCTGTCATAGGGGGCAGCACTATGAATAAGAAAATACTGTACTGTTGAAACAACAGTTTCAAAGCTTTCATAACAATAAAAAGTGTTCCAGATATTCACGGGAACAAAAGATCTGTGTGCTGCTGCATAATGAGAACACAAATAAAAATATCGCAATTGAAAACTGTTAAACAGGGTCTGTTGTAGCTATAAAACATTTCTTGTTTATTTTTTAGATGCAAACAGGATGATGTAACCTTCAGAATTCTGCCATTATCTTTCTGGCTGCTAATTTACAAGTATACTGTAAGGCATGGTATAAAGTGTAATAATATCATTCTGTCCGGTGTGCTGTGCCCCTGTGTGGGTATATACAGTGCACATAAGAGTAGGATTCACTCATACAGTGTTATTAGATTGAACCAGCTGTGCTTCATCCCTCCCTCCTTCTTTGACTTGCTGTCAGCCATGTTGTCCCTCCTATCATCTTCATCATCAGCTCGGAGCCATGGCATGTAGGTTCTTACAGGCTGCATTCACAATGCAAGGCTTAAAGGATAATTATGGCTTATTACAACATGGAGCTTATTTAGAGGTAGATCTCATTTTCAGTTATAATAACACGTTCACCAAGCTCTAGTTATCGTGATTTGATGATGTGAAGAATTTGCTGGAAAAAAATTGGATGCAACAACAACTTTGATCAGTCAGACATATCGTAACTTGATGAAAATAAAAAGCACTGGTAAAACAAACTGTAAAATAAATAACCAAAGTGTTCCTTTCAGCATCCATTATGGTTTAGAAACTGACTTCCTGGTTCAGCTCTGATCTATCGCATTTGATGATGTCGGTTTAACCTCCAAACAAAATGGTTGAGCTAATTTGACTAAGAGCTGAAAGTCCAGCCGTCCAGCAAAAACATTCAGTGGTACTGTAGCTGTTGTTTGGCACAGCTTTTCACTGCCATTCAAGAAGTAATTTAAGAACTTCAGTAAGTGTCAGTCAGAGACTATCCTCCCAAGAATATAGTTGTTTCAGAAATGTGTCCCCTAATCCCTCAACCACATGGTTATGGTTGTCACACATGCTGCCATTTATGTGACAATTTCTGTCCCTGCACAGGAAGATGATGTCTTCATTCTTACTCTGCCTGGACAGCTTTGATTGGCTTAGTTGTTTTTACAACAAGAGAAACAGCCAACACAATATCAGACCTGTTGTAATCACTGCAAAAACTGGAAATTCTGGCAGCAGTTTAGAGGTCTGGAACCAGTGTAGATGAAGTTAGTGGAACAGCAGTGGCCTGCCGTCACAACCGTAGCTCTCAAAGTATGTGAAAATGGCTTAAATCAGACCTTTAAATAAAATGAAAGCCCCATATAGGGGATACATATTTTATTTTTCCAGCTGCATCGCGAATGCAGTCATACACTATATTGTTCAACATTCTCCTCTCTCCCTCAGTGACAAACTGTCCATGGCATCCTAATCATCCTTTTGCTATAAGTGTGATTTCTCCACGTTCAGTACATGTAACCACTGTTTCCTTCAAATAGTTTATTTTTGCTTTGCTCTTTCACAGGGTAATTAGCTTAAGTGCTTCTATTTGTCTCTTATCTTTGTTGTCTCCTCATTGTGCTTTGATGAATTTGAAAGGCCGAATAATATCACCGTGCTCTGTCTTTCTTAAATGTCCGTTTGCTCTATTTGTGTGGGTGGTGTTTGGGTTTGTGTGCTGTGTGTGTATGCTTATCATTGCTCTTTCTCATCAGGTCGCAACAAAGTATGGCCAGGTGGGAACTGTCCCTATCTACCTTTTGCTTATTGACCCCCTTCCCCATTTCCCCCCACAAGTGAACCACAAAATGCTTCTTTCCAAACAAACTATACCCCAAGATGCCCAGGATGTGACCTCCCTCCTGCCTCTCTCCTGCCTGTCTTCCTCTCTTCCCTTGTAGCAAAGTAACCTCCTATTCCAATATTGGGACAACAAAACAAAAAGACAATATTGGGAACTCTCCTTATAGCTTTCAGAAGACCAACATCTGGCTGCTGATTTGCCCCATATGTTGGGTACCAGTTGTATCAAAGCCTATTATGACTAAAGTGGGTTTGATTGTTCAGCTTGCTAAAAGGCTACCACTTCATTCACTTCCAAACCCTTCACCTACAGATCTCCTTCTTTATGCAATGGACAGAAATCAGTGAAGGACTACAGCTTCTTACTTGGATTCACCTTGACTATTTCACTGAAATTTGTTAATCCTGTTTGGCCCATTTTTGCATTTTAGAGGAGGCTAAATCTTTAACCTTGTTTCACCTTCATTTTAGTTCACACACATCCTAAGGGTGTTTTTAAATTCTCTTAATTGTATTTGTTCTAAACAGCTGGAGCAAAATGCTAATCACCACATATACAGTAAATAGTCTCCTCGCAACACTGACATCTCTGAAAATGTTCCCATTACTGGAAAGGACATGGAGAAAAAATGCAAATGAGCAGCTGATTATATACCAGATCATCTGAAAAGCCAAGAACAAATAAAATAACTCGGCATCCACATAACAAACACCACTACAAAGTGTTTGTTTATGCAAATAAGAGTTGTAAAGGCTAATTGTAGAACAGATTTTTATAGTTTCAATAATCAAGCTAAACTCTGACGAAGTATGATAAAAATGAAAGTAATGAGCCCTAACAATTAGTAACAATTGATCTTGAATATGTTTGTACATACAGTATATTCTTGAAATTCTCCATGTAACTGAGTCTTTGGTGAACTGCTGTATTGAAGGAGCCCTGTGCATCCTGTTTTTCTGAGGCAGTAGAGTGCTTCTGATTGGACATCACGTCTGGCGTCCCTAAAGAAGTGCATGCATAAGTGTGTGTATCCACACACTAATGCATGTCTTTCTATGCTTGTGAGGACACTCATTGACATAATGCATTCCCTAGGCCATTACACTAACCTTAACCATCACAACTAAATGCCTAGGTCTAACCCTGATTCCAACCTTAATCCTAAAAGTTTGAAGGTCTGAAGACCAGCGACAATGCCCTCACCACGATGGTAGCAAATTAAAATGTGTCTACACAACTGCAGAAAGATGTGCACACACATATATACAGTATATATTATATCTTCCTGTCCCATGGAACTTCTGAAAGCTACTGGCAACTGTTCTTGCCATCTCAAAGTGTTGCAGTCTTTCAGCAGTGAGGACTGGCACTGGCTTTGGAGATTGCATGAAACAATAACCAAGTCATCTGAGCATGTGAGGTGCATGCCATTTTGTTTGACTTTCCACTGAGAAAAGAAAAAGCCCCTGAGTCTAAGGTGTATGGATCCATAATCCTCCATCTGACAGCTGCCCTTTATACACATAAACAATACATACAATTAATTACTTGAATTGTTTTTTTCTTTCAACTAGCCTTATTTAAAAATAGCCACAACCTGAACAGCTGTGAGTTTAGAGCAAAGGAGTTAATCATTTATATGATAATGCCTTATTCTACAGGTTCCTTACTTTCCAAATAATGGCTGCAGTAAATACATCACTTGATATAATTCTACTAGAGTGAGGCTAAAAGTGTTTGACCCAGGAAGACGTTAGCATTCTCACCAGTGAATAAAGTTAATGACAGACAGTATTGTTTGTGCACTGAATGCACCTTCGCTTGCCTTTGTAAAATAACACTAGGTTACTACTTTAGTTATAGTTAGCCAGGCACACTAGCATTTACAGCTCACATTAGAACAGATGAACACACCTTCAAATCCATTCCTTACATTGTTGCCCTTCCTTTTTTTTTAAAAAAGTAGCATATTTGAATGACAGGCAATTAAAAAAGTGAGTGAGTACACTCCAAAGAAACTGGATAAAGGCTGCATGTATTTTTGAACATACTTTACATTGTTAAACAGCACCTTCACAGTACTGTAGGGGGTGTGTTTATTCCCTGGGAAGGACAATATTAGTTGGTCAATGCCCTGGTGACATGCTGGTATAAGGAGCAGCAGGGCCTCCTCCATCGGACACTAGCAGGGTTTTTAGACTTACTAAAAGCCCTGCTGGACTTACTGTACTTTGATTACTTTTCACCGCATAAATAAAATAAACCTTCTTCTGTTGTTCAGTAGCATGTTTCTGTAGAATAACACACTCATACATGCACTTTACTAACAGAATATAAACAGGTATTAATCACACAGAATATACCTGAGGTACTAAAATCGGCTCTTGTTACTTGGGATTAGGCTGAAGGGGTTTATATGATTATCACTAATGCTACATCACCAAGATTAACTGTCCTCTCAATCTGCACAGAGGAACAAAAGGCAAGGACATCAACACCATCAAGTCCCTGAGGGTCCTCCGAGTCCTGCGGCCACTCAAGACTATTAAGCGGCTGCCCAAGCTGAAGGTACAGTGAAACAATCTGTCACACACCCAGTCCATTCTGAGAAAGAAATAACGGCTAGATAAACAAACAAAGAAACAAAAAAATAAATTTTCTTTTTTTTAAGAAACTGGTGCAGTCAGAGACAGTCACGCATAGTCCTGGGTCCAGTGATTTTACAGTGTATCCAGACAATGGATATATCTGATTTAAAACAGCAGTGTTTTAAATTAGATAGAAGAACCACAAATAAAATGTTTTGAGCATCACACACTCACATGTCTAAGCTTGAAAGATGGCTCTTAAAAGTTTGTATCCTTTGTCAACAGCAGCAGCTGTTGTTAGCATTTGTTCAAATCAGTTACAAAACAGTCAATGAAAAAACTTGGTCAAAGCAAAAACTTCCCAAACTACCTCCTGTATATTCAGTATGTCACAAACACTCATAAATTAAACATAACTTTTATTTGTCTCTGGCATAGTGAATTATAGCAAATAGTCATGTTAGGTAACGGTGTTCAGTATCAAGTTTCTTTAAACGTTTGGATTTAGTTTTTTTTATCCAAGAAACTGGCTCACCACTGGAGTTCATTGTTACTTTCGAGCACACGCTGACAACATTCTGCACCTTTCAAACCTACAGTAGAAAAGATGGTGGTGTAAGTCTTTAACTTCTTAATGATCAGTGTTACAAAGTGCCAGTGAGAAGTCAGCCTCTTTTATCCTGAATACAGTATGTCTGGGATGAACTGTAGCTTCAGTGTGTGAGCATCATTCCTCTTTCAGTTCAGTGGCAGCCGTCATGATTTTTGTTGATATATTCAGTAAATTTGGAGGGTTTTAAGCTGCAGTTGGACTTGAATGATACTGCACCTGTGTGTTAGCAATTATTTGTCCTATTTAATTAAAATAATACTTCTTTGTTAGTGTTTCATAACTGCATTTAGGTTTCTGCAGAGGCAAAGTCTGTTTCTTTTCAAATTATACAAGATATGTTGAATTTTCATGCATTTACAAAATTATTGTACTTAAATAAAGTGTTACAATAATAGTGATTAAGTCAAACTTTATTAAAGTAACTGTGCAAAGAATTGTAATGTTTACAACATGTTTTATGCTATTCTCATGGCATAATTTCGGGTCAAAGAAAAATGTGCCTCTCTAGTGAAACTCTTCTTTGAATCATGAATTTGTATGAAGTGAAAATTTTGTAGTAACAGAAATGTGCCATTGTGACCTTCATCGAGACCAGACCCCCAGGTGTTTCTTCTGACGCAGCAGATGACAGCTTCCCTCTAGTGTGCGATGGCGGCTGATCATCCAGAAGTGATGGATCTGACGAATGATGAAAGATCTGATTGGAATAATAGAAGTGAGATGACAGAGACAGATCAGAACTGGCAGACAGACGCTCTTACACAACTCTTCTTGGATACTGGGACAGAGTGTTTTGACAGAAGAGGGGGGAAATATGCTCTGTCCTCACTCTGGAGACACTTATGCAGTAGAATATTCATTGGTCAGATTGTATGCATGTCAGGATAAACAGAAAGCACTTCATTTCACAGCACAACCTGAAAATGGCTGCAGAGTGACTGGTGGAGAGATACAAAGACTGGTGTGTTCATGTACCCTGTAAGCGATTTGCTAGTGTGCAGATAAAAAGATGGCGTTACACTGCAAAGTCACAATAGGTCTGAGAAATAACATTATTTTTAGGAAGATGTAATCATGTGAGACTTTAAACCTGTGTGTGTGTGTGTGTGTGTATACACCTTACATTTATTGATCTGAGTCTGTGTGTATAACTATTTTCCAGGCAGTGTTCGACTGTGTTGTAAACTCTCTGAAGAACGTTCTTAACATCCTCATCGTCTACATCCTCTTCATGTTCATCTTTGCTGTGATCGCAGTGCAGCTCTTTAAGGGCAAATTCTTCTACTGCACAGATGAGTCCAAGGGTCTGGAGAAAGAGTGCAGGTACATCATCACAGCGTAAAATACATGTATGGTAAATCATCAATGAGGAAACTGATTTTCTGTCATCATATCATTACACTGAGCCAAGGTGGCTGCCACATGGTAACATATGAACTGAAACAGTCGCTTATTTTTTCTCCTCCATTTTGACAGTATAGTTTTGTCTCCTCCTCCTGATTCTGTTTGTCCTACCACCTCTCCCTCAGGGGTCAGTTTCTGGACTATGACAGGGACGATGTAGCAGCTCAGCCTAGAGAGTGGAAAAAGTATGCGTTTCACTACGACAACGTCCTCTGGGCCTTCCTTACACTCTTCACCGTCTCCACTGGAGAGGGCTGGCCAGTGTAAGTCAGAACAAACCTCCACATCATTTTATTTGTGTAATGGCTTTCTTACATAAAACACTACTTCATTTTAGCTTTACACACAGTGATGCTAAATATGAAACCCATAAACCTCAGCGATCAAAGGAATGAATTGGTTTATAAAGGTAAGAGTGCCATGATTTACTGTATAGCTAATAATTAGTGCTTTTAGAGTTTTTGTCAAGGTAGAGTTTTCTTCAGTGACATCTCCTGAAACATACTCCTGGAGGCAAAGTGTACAGCACAGATTAAACTCAACTGATTTCTCCCAGGCTTAATTACTGTGCATTCCCTAAAAATGCAATCAAGGCTGAGTGCACAGATGACTTCTGTGCCTGAGCTGACGTACCATGAGCATACTCATTCAGCATCATCACTTCTGTTGGGGAACAATGACAGCCGTTTGTTTATTTCAGTCACTGTACCTAGATGAAATGAGTAGTAAATTGATCAAGTTTCACCTTGTCATAGTCATCTAGAATCTCATGTACTAAACAAGGAGATAGAGTACAATAACACCATGACCACAAGAAAGGACTCACAATTAAGGGTGTGGTATTTACTAGCATTAACGATTTGGGATACCCCAAAAACTATACAATGCTTTCTGTAGTGCCCATCTACTCTCTTGTTCTTACACTTTAATGAACAAAAACCTAAATCTAAAATCTTGCAGATACTTAGTAACTCTCCTAACACAAGCAAGAACAAAATGAACCAAAGTGAAAACAGGCCATGATTGATACCAGCTTCCCACTGAAACGTTTTGAATATAGATTGCTTCTAATTTCACTCTGTTTCCAAGTGTGCCTCTGACAAGGAACATACTAAGGCCTAGATCCAGTATCCATCCTGATGCCATCATGGTGTAATCTGAGAGGGATGTAGAGATGGGAAAATTGGAGTGGTTGGATGAATGCAGAGTTGGATGTTGGGGGTTGAAAATGTTGCTGACAATGTAACACTTTGACATCCGTGTTTGTTAGGTCCTCGGGTTATTGTTACTGGATTACATTATATTCAGAGGTGTTCCTAATATTCTGACCTTCTCATGCATGTAGCTGGAAAGGACACATGTATGTAGCTGGGAAGGACGAAAATAGAGAGACACCTCTATATTGTAATGTAGTCCAGTAAAACACCACGTTTATCTATGACCTCAATAATAAACATAGATTAGAATTTTTACATTTATGAAACTGAAACATTTTGAGCTTCATAAACACAGATGATAAGGTGGAAGTGTTGCATTGAAGTGCATACTATTGTACAGGTGTACCTAATAAAGTGACCTATGAGTGCATATAATCTGGTCAGTGACCACAAGAATGTGCACTTATCTCAGATGATTGAATCCATTTTTTTACTCTCTACAACTCAGATGGGGGTCAAAGACCCAAAAATCCTGAAAATCCAGCATTACTGATTTGATCTGTTTAGCAGCGTATGAAGAATACATACCTGGAGTGCACAAACACTTCACCCAAAATAAAAACATCTATATTGGTTTACAGACTTTCCATATCTAATGGATTATGATTAGCATAAGTGAAAGACGGTGCAAGGGTCCAAGTGAGACGGGACTTTGTGAACTCATGTTACCTGGGAAAACATGTGACCAGTCAAGTGGCAGTGTTTGTTTTGGTTAGTAATGCAGTTTGATCCAATTGGATGTAAACAAACCATGACCTGATCGTTTCTTTTTTTAGTTATTTTTATTTTATCCTTACTTTTATGTTGATCTTAGACACCCATAATCCTCATTTATAACATTAGAAACACTGAATAATAATATCATGGACTGTATTTTATAAATGGAATAAGGGGTGGCTGTGGCTCATGAGGTAGGGCAGTCGTCTCCTGACCAGCAAGTTGGTGGTTCGACTCCCGGTCTCCCCGCATGCCTAAGTGTCCCTGAGCAAGACACTGAACCCCGAATTGCTCCTGGTGGCTTGACTAGCGCCGGTGCATGGCAGGTGAATTGTGTATCATCGCTGTAAAGCGCTTTGGCCAGTGAAACACACTGTGAGAAAGCGCTATATAAAATACAGTCCATATCATCATCATCTTTATATGTAGAATGCTTAGTCAGAACGTGCTTCACACACTGCAGTAAATTATAAACCAGCAAGAGTACAGTCAGTATTGAAAAGGTCTGTGTCCTGAAGCTCTTGTTGATTTCACAGTAGCAGATTTGTGAGCACTTGTTGACACCTGGAATAATTTGTGACTTTGCTAATGCCATTCCCTTGTTGATTTCACAGTAGCAGATTTGTTAGCACTTGTTGACACCTGGAATAATTTCTGTTAAAGGCATACAGCCCTCCTGACTGTCTTGACTCATCCATTCAATTTGAATATCTTCTGAATAATGTTTGTGAGGTGCAGAGTGAAGTAGGGTAAAGGTAGAGGTACAATAGATATTCATCTTTCATCAGCTCACCTTTCCCTTCTTCTCAGGGTCCTGAAGCACTCTGTGGATGCCACCTATGAGGATCAGGGCCCCAGCCCAGGTTTCCGCATGGAGACATCCATCTTCTATGTGGTCTACTTTGTAGTGTTCCCCTTCTTCTTCGTCAACATATTCGTAGCTTTGATCATCATCACCTTTCAGGAACAAGGAGACAAGGCCATGTCGGAGTGTAGCCTGGAGAAGAATGAGGTGATATGAGAGCAAAAGTGATGCAGTTCATTGATTTTCATCCTGAACAACATCTACCCCTGATGTGCAACAAGAACACATGCTGACTATATTTGCAGAAGCACTAGTTTCTGAACATGTTTGTCTCTTGCATCAAAAATGTTTCCTTCATTAGAAATCAGAGCACATGCTGAGCCACTTCTAAATGTCTCTTCCAGGCAAATTACATCTAACACAACTTACAGTTCCCTCAGACAGAAAAAAGCACTAAATAAGAAAGCTGTGGGGTTTCTCTTCCTCACTTGCTTCATCTCCGCTTCACAGGGATTTTGTTGAAATTAGTTTTTGTCTGTAAAGTATTGGCTAGTGATCAGACAGCATCTCATCTTTTGATATTACAAAAAGCATTGAAAATCCTCCAGTGGCGTGCCAGCTGTCTTTCATCTCATTACATTTCATTGCTAGCACTATTCTGTCTTTGATGAAGGGTGCAAAGTTCCTGTAAAAGAAACTGTTTTTGTTTTATCTTTTCATCATACAGAGAGCTTGTATTGACTTTGCCATCAATGCAAAGCCGCTGACGAGATACATGCCAGAGAACAAGCAGTCCTTCCAGTACAAGATGTGGAAATTTGTGGTGTCACCTCCGTTCGAGTACGCCATCATGACTTTAATTGCCCTCAACACAGTCGTGCTGATGATGAAGGTCAGTGATTTCTCCTGCTAATGAGGCAAAGTGCCAGTTCTTCTCAGATACCTCTCAGCCAGAAGCAGCAGTGTACTGGCTCAGTGATGCCCGGTGTGATACAAAAACACTGTTGAAATATTAAAAAGGGTTTGCAGATGCTCTTTCCATAAATCTGGACCATGTTATAATTTGGTTCTTAAGGATGAGATGCAATTATAACAGCAACAATGGTCTGGCCTTGAGACATGGCCAACATTTAAAAATCAAACATGGCCACAGCTTCTGATGAACAATGCTTTCTGCTAGTGGAGAGAAGCACTCATGTCCTGGCAGTTCCTCTACTCATCTGTTCAGAGGAGAATGAAACTTTGGGTAATGTAGGAAGGTGCCAGACAGAGAGCACTGTGTTTTCATTCATCCAACAATATTACTAGTTTACCTATTTTATCTGATCATATTCATAAACTTTGAAAATGTATTTGAAGGACCATATGTTGTTTAAACTCAGGCAGCAGCCAGAATGTAGCAGTACAGAGAAAATGAAAATAATACCGATTAACCTCTGTTTATGTACTTACACAGTACTACTAGGTGATTTTAGTTTAAGAAGTAGGTGTGCTGTTTAGAGGACCAGCATTACATTTAAAACTGGGAGCACCTTGGAAGACTGTTCAGATATCCTGAAGGAATAGTTCAATATTTTGGGAAATATGCTTATTTACTTCTTTGCAGAGAGTTGGATTAGAAAAGCTCTACCATTGTATACGTATATGTCCTTTAAATATAAGACTACAGTCACCTGTTGGACACTGGAAACAGAAGGAATCAGCTAGTCTGGCTCTGTGCAGTGAACCAGATCTGCTTACCAGCACTTCTAAAGCAATCTAAAGAAACTTTGTCATATTTGACTACTCCTTGACCAGATGCTGAGATACTGGAGTTTTCACTAACACAGCCAAACAAACAGCCAGATAAGAAATCAAATTTAACCTGAATTATGTTTTTTTCATATGAGATAAACATTTACGGTAGATGGTCCATAACAAGTGGAATTTAAAAAATGTGCATCTAAAACAAAACTAGAACTATAGGAATGAAGGTGTTAGTAATGCACCTACAGTAAAGCTGTTTGTCACAAGTCAAACACACCAGAAGAAGAGAAAAGATGGAATAGCCTAATCTTTCAGGATAATGACTTTTCACACAGAAACAAATGCGATCTTAGTTGAGTGAAAAGTAACAAAACCACATAACTGCTCAGTTGGAAAGAGGCTGACTTCCATTAAAGTCTTTTTAAAACATGTAAAGATGCACAAGTTCACCGCTTTGCTCGCCGGAGTGCTGTTCATTGTCAGTGAGCTCAGTGCTGCCCCTGTTGTCTGGGATTCTTATTACAATTAACAATAACCAGCATTCAGCACAAACACATTGAGGCACAGACAATTTCAGTGCCAGAATCGCTTGCCATTATCACAGTGGCAACGCACAGCATCTACTGATACTGAGTGGATTAAAATGCATGTGTGCAGCTGGATGTGGCAGATATATTTGCACATGTTAAACATCTTGCTGTGGTGTGTATGAGGAATCAAATAGAAGTGGTCTTTATGGATTCTTGGCTATAAATACAGTACACTTGTAGTTTTCAGTATCACATACTGTAGCTATCTGATCCGATGACATAAATGGGGTATGGTGTTCTTGAGTGTGGTTCCTCTCTCATATCTTATAAAATATATGTTGAGTGTACAATCTTCCTCCTGTCCCACAGTTCTACGGAGCTCCGGACATCTATGAGTCCATGTTGAAATACTTAAACATCATCTTCACAGCGCTCTTCACGCTGGAGTGTATCCTCAAGATTATTGCCTTCGGTCCACTGGTGAGCCATCAAACCTATATGTACACTATACTCTGCAAATGCTAGTCAGTTATTCACTGTTGTGTGGTGTTACTGTTTATATACATGAGGGAAAATCTCCTTCTGAATATGCATATATGTAAATGTTAAAATGATTTGCAAGATTTTTAATATGTGGTAGTGGCCACATTTAGACCCATGCATTGCACAGTGATGTGGAAAATGTAAAGTTAAGCATTGAGAGGTTGCTGTGTGTAAAATAATGTTGAAATCTTTTCCTGTTATTATTGGGTTTTGGAAACATAGACAGTTTGAAAGCTGCGTGACTATAGACACACATCATGTGTTCAGTTTTTTACATTTAGTTTTCATTCATTACCCAACGACGAAGGTTAGTCTTGGGAAGACCGAAGCAAAGGAGTACGTGTACAGTATATCAAGAACAGTGAGAATCCACAGTTTTCCACAGCTATACTAAAAGTATTAGGTATCTACATGTTGCTACTTGTGCTATACTAAAAGTACTAGGTATCTACATGTTGCTACTTGAACTCTCATGTACAGTAACTGTTGCTTTTATTGAACATGTAATGTTTTATCTAATTTGTATTCTAATGTTTTATTTATATGCTGTATGCATTTTAATGTTTTATCCATCTGCGTGCACTGTGTTAAGCACTGAATTGCTGTTGCGTATGAACATGTGCTCTATAAACTTGTCGTGTCTATAAACCATTCTGTACCAAATACATGACATACTGTTATACTGTTCTGTACCAACAGTTCTTCTTTATGCTAATGAGCAGTTTGTCTTTATGTACTGTATGTTAACTACAACAGTCAAACTCAGACGGATGCTGATTATTTATACATAAAAGAACATTAGAGGACACATAATAAGTGAGAAACAGTAAGCGTAAGGAACATAGTCACTTATTGAGGAATAAGCAGGGTGATCCAGTAACAAAAAGAGGGAATGAAGGGAAGAGTGCACAAAAAGAATAAATCTTCTGCAAACATGGCACCGTCTAGCCTGCAGCGTGACAGTTCATCTCTGGCTTCGTTCCATTTACAAGGCCCATTTATCAAATAGCTTTTCTCACACACCACTTTCCTTCACCTGTTTAGGCGAATGGGCTCACAGCTGCTGGTCCATATAAACACTTGGCTGCTGAGACAGCAGCTGCAGGGCCTGGTAGCAGCCTCGGCCCCGAGGACCTGGATGACTGGCCAGTCTGAACACATCCAGGCTGCAGGCAGCAGCTAGTGTGTGCAAGGGGTTGTGGCAGCATTTGTGTGTATGTATGTGTATGTGTATATCGATTTGCATCCACAGGGGGATGTCTAGTGTTTTCTTCTTTTGTGTAACCTAATCTCTGTGTCTGCTTTTGTCTTTTAGAACTACATGAAGGCAGCGTGGAACATCTTTGACTTTGTCACTGTGCTTGGAAGCATCACAGACATCTTGGTCACAGAGATTAAAGTAAGAGCTGTAGATATCACGGTTTGTCTTTGGTGCCAATGACCAGTCTCCCACGGTTCACTGCAGAGTGCCATGATGCAGGAAGTAGACTTAGCCTAGGCAGGTGAAGTGTGAAAATGGAAAAGTAGAAAATGGAAAGTAGTTCATGTTTATTAGTTTACTTTCATTTTGACTATAATAGAAATTAGGTTTTCAAGTCATCGTTATTTTTATTATCAGCCTCTCCCTTTTTTGATTGATTTAGTCATTGTTATAGTGTAAAAATTTTGAAAATTGTGAAAAATACTCATCACGGTTCCAAGCTGGAGTCTTCAAATTAATAGTTCTTTGACCAACAGTTTAAAACACTTAGATATTTAGGTTACAAAACAGAGAAAACCATTGACATTAACTGTTTTTTTTTTTTCAGCAGTAATTTACATGGGCCTTTATCACATTTTTTGTCAAACATTTCCAATCTGAACAAACCACTTCAACTCAGAATCATGAGTTTAAAAGTCATGCTTTGCTGTGTTCTCACAGTCTCAGTCCTCAAACTGAACACTCAACTGAGAAAACTAACACCAGAAGTATGTCATCAGGAACATCAATACACAAATGATCAAATCTAATCAGAAAACAAAGGCAGGCACAGAGCAACAGGAGAACAGATGATATTGCAATTTGGATCAATTAGTTTTTTCTATTGGTATGGGTATTTGATTATGGAGGCTGAGGACTGAGACAGGCTACTGTTGCTTTCTGTGGCTTTTTCTTCGTCACTTTCTCTTCATGTGATCATTAGTCTTCTCTCCTGCTTTCCTTCTGTTTTTCCTCACTTTTGCTGTTTCCATCTTCTGCTCTATCTTTCTCGGTGCCTGTGCCCTCACTCTGCCCCTTTTGTCACGTCTGACACCTCTAGACGGTAAGTGGCTTTTCTTGTCGGTGGCTGATTTTGTCAGTTGCCCCGTCACTGTCTGTTGTTCTCTCCCACGGCCTTAGATTAAAGTGTCTGCCTACTGAATCCTGACTGTGACATGATATAAAGACCTAATAAACTGTTGGACTAGTATACTTTAGCAGGGATGTTATCATCTAGAGCTATTTCAGTGCATACTAAACACTGAAAAACAAGTCCTTACAGTATGTCTCGTAGCTTTCAGTTGCTTGCAGCAAGAATTGGAGCTAAGATGAGATCAGTGCATTAATATACAAAGACACATAATTTTACAGAGTCCTGGAAGGTGGTTAGTGTGGACTGTAAATACATTACATTATCTCCATGTTTTTGTGCTTATTAAAAATTAGATGTCTAACAGACTGAGGCTGACACTTTTTGCAATGCCAGTAGTCAACACTTTAAAAGAAAGAGTGAAACAGATTTTTACACATGTGATCCAGTCACTGCCATCTGTGCTGCTTGGATTTAGGGAAACGAGGAAATAAAATCAGTTATGTTTTTAATTATGGCAGATTTTTTGACTGAATTGATGCTTGTTTCAGCCAATTTCATTCTTGGTGTATTTTGGTCATATTTTTGACTTGTGTTTGAAATTCTTACTGTCTTGCTAATTAGAGTTACTGTATTTCTCAAAAATAGCCCAGTGAATCCACTTGATTTGTTATATAAATAATATTAAGAGATTAATTTAAAGGAAGTCTCAATTTTTGCTGCACTGCAGCCACCACAAGAGCAGATAAATAATAACATTAACCAGCACGCTACTGTCACATTGGACCATGTACGGCTGTAGCAGCAAAACATCTCTACGTGTAAATACTTGAGTAAGGGTGATGGTTACTGCTCATGAATTCTACTTTTTATTTGTAAAAGTATGCAGTGGTGGAAGAAGCATTCAGATTGTTTACTTAAGTAAAAATAGCAATAACACAACGTAAAAATATTTTGTTAAGTCTTGCATTCAAAATGTTGTTTGAATAAAAACTAAAGTATTAGCAGAAAACAGCTTAAGTACCAAAAGTAAAAGTTCTCATTAGACAAAATGGCACAATTTTAGAATGATGCGCATCATATTATTAAATTAGAATTGATGCATTATTGTGTACATCACATTTAGTGGTGCAGCTGGTAAAGGGGCAGCTAATTTTAATTTAAACTTATGTTTATAATTTGAAGAACTACTGGGCAGCTTGTGAATTTTTCCAACAAGGATAAAAAAAATCCTGTAATTGTACTGCTTTTTGTTTTATTAACTTCTTTTTGAAATGTTACTAGTAACTAAAGTTAGGACATAAATATAGTGAGTGCAAAGTGTTTCTCTCTGAAATGTAGTGAAGTTGGAAGTAGCATGAAAATAAAATACTCAAGTAAAGTACAGATAACTCAAAATTGTACTTAAGTACAGTACTTGAGTAAATGTATTTAGTTACTCTCCACCTCTCAAAGCATTAGAGTTAAAGTATTGCTTTAACTCCTTTTAACTTGGGTGTACTACAATACATCACATGGTCACCTTTTTCTCTCTCAGGACAAGTTGATCAACCTGAGTTTCTTGAGGCTGTTCAGGGCAGCTCGTCTCATCAAGCTGCTGCGGCAGGGCTACACCATTCGCATCCTGCTATGGACCTTCGTTCAGTCCTTCAAAGTGAGGAAACACAAAGAGTAACCCAAAAAGCACAAGATGAAAGCAATCCACTGTGGAAAGATGCAAGTGATTAATTAAGAATGAAGATGCTTTGTTCTTTAGAAACTTTAACATTGACCCTGTTGGTTATACTGGTTTATAGTTGAATAAACGGATATCACACAAAATGCCAGGATAGAGGGTCTAAAGCAGATACACTGCAGAATCCCTGTGTTACTGTTAAACTCAAACTAAACAGCTCTCAGCACACTGCAGTTTGACTTTTCACACAGTGCTGGTTTGCTCTCTGAATCCCTGGGACAAGTTGAGTTAAAAGCAGAGAACCAGGCCACAGCCCTGAGAATTTAGCAGCTGTAAATGTCAACGGGGAGAGCTTTTAAGCCCAGTGAAAATGAACACTAGCTGCAGAGTGTTAAAGGCTAGCTATTTAATTACAACAAATGTTGGCCTCCTCCTCACATTGAAATAAATAGCAGGTTAAAAGAATTGACTCTGCAGGTCAGACTGACTGAAATCATAAACCTTACAGGGTGCGAATCCTCTGTGGAGAATAAGCTTTGTGAGTGTATGTTTGTGTATGCAAGAGAGAGAAACCAAAAGAGAGGCCAGGTACTCTCTGTGTGTGTGTTTGTACATGAAAGAAAATTGTGTATGTGTGGAAATTCTGAGTGGCTTTAAAATGTATTTGTGTGTTTGTTTCCAGGCTCTGCCGTATGTCTGCCTGCTCATTGCCATGCTGTTCTTCATCTATGCCATCATTGGAATGCAGGTGAGTTGTGACATGACCAACTAGACTAACAAAAGTTTGTGTATCTGAATAACCTGAAGTCCCGACAAACCGTTGATACCCCTCCACAGATGTTTTAATGGCTGATTAGACCTCTTCTCAGGACTGTGTTGGTGTGTACAGACTGTGCTTGAGTGCTATATCCTTGAATCTGTTACCTTTGTTACACCTAGTGTGAGACAGCTTTAACCTTTACTATCCATTTATCAGCATTGTAGCCTACAGTATACGTGACGCTAGGTCACTATAACAGCAGTATACAGTTTTAAAGTTTGGCGTTTCCTTTCAGTAAACATCACCTGCTCTCTTGCTGTCTCAGGTGTTTGGTAACATCGAGCTGAATGAGGACACTGCCATAAATCACCACAACAACTTCCAGACCTTTTTTCAGGCCTTAACCCTTCTCTTCCGGTAAACCTCTTCCATATTCCAAAAGATTCTTACACCAGAAATAAGTATCAACCAATGACACTCCCATCACTGCTGTACAGTATAATGTTTAAATTCACTTTGTGCACATGTGTACCTTAACAATGATTTGTGTGTCTTTCAGGAGTGCGACAGGCGAAGCATGGCACGAGATCATGTTAGCGTGTCTCAGTAACCGTCCCTGCGATAAGCTCTCAGGAACTGTCGAGAAGGAGTGTGGAAGTGATTTTGCATACTTCTACTTTGTCTCCTTCATTTTCCTCTGCTCCTTCCTGGTCAGTATGATGTAGCCATCACACCTCTGCTCATACTGAGCGCTCTGATTGCAAGTAGTTACACACAAGCTTAGAGGTTTTGCCTGATTTATTCTATTAAATACTACTTACAGTTTAAATTTGTACCATTGCTAACTTTGTTAATAATGCTCATTATCTTATTTAATTTCACCCAGACTTATGTCCCCATGTACCCAAAAGATGTTTCCCTCTGGGAGAAGTCCTTGTTTGCATTTTACAGTTAACAAGGTCTTGTTTCACTGAACATGGCTCAGAAAAATTCTCCCGGTTAGAAAATGCGGAGGAAAATGCTAATGAGCTGCTGATAATATGGCAGATACTGTAACCTAAGAAACAATTCAGTTAAGCCAGTGTTTGCATTGTAAATTGAATCTTTAATCTGAATTTCACCTAGACTAGACACCTATTACTGATTAAACAATTTAACACATTTTTAAAACACTGTAATCAAGGGACACATTTATGGTCTGGTTTTGAATAAAGCAAAACATTAAAGAAAATAAAGAAAAACAGTGAGTCCTAATTGTTGCTAACATTAGTTAGGGGAAATGCAAGTGCAAGTGGGATGGATTCTGAAAAGTCTCCAACAGGAAACAAAAGGACATGCTCTGCAAAATGGTTAGCAGTAAGATAAAAGATGTAATGTGCATGTTTGGGGCTAAAAACATGCACAGCTACTGATATGGTCTATTAAATGGAAATGCATAGATTACATCTGGTATTTTGTCAGTGTAAAGTACAAATAGGTTCCATCAATAGAATGCTTTTCCTAAACTCTCTTTTCAGATTAAAATGTCATAATTACTGTTGTTTTTTAGCATATAAATGAATACTTATATTTATTATTAATTAACTTTATGCACTTATGATTTCATCCACCAGATGCTGAACCTCTTTGTTGCTGTCATCATGGACAACTTTGAGTACCTGACCAGGGACGCCTCCATCTTGGGACCTCATCACCTTGATGAATTCATTCGTGTGTGGGCGGAGTATGACCCCGCTGCCTGGTAGGTTGTGCATTCCCCAGCATTAGCCAGTGCCAGTGTTAAAGAGGAAAGGTTTGTTTCTGAAAGAGGGCGAGGCTAGGACAAGGAAACTTTCGGCATGGCTTCTGAGTTCCAGCAGGACAGTTCTGTGATGTGGAACTGGAAAAATCCTGTCTTGCCACGGGCGGCTGAGTGACATTAAGCCTGAGCCCAGAGTGTTGGCTGAGGCTGGTGATGAGTCCCCTGTCGGCTGGATTGATGCATGTAAATCCAGTGTTCCGCTCAGCGCCCGCTCGGCTCTTCATGCTGCTAAGCCAGCGAGCTCCAAAGCCATCTGTCTCTGTGGTGTGAAGGGAAACTGTTGACCCTCCAATGGGGCACTACAGGTTTATGTCAACGCCTACTCTGCCCCTCACATCCTCACTGTTTAACTTAACTAAAGTACAATTCAAGTTTTGAGTGAGGCAGTGTGAAGCATAATCTGTCTCAGATTATATAAGGCTCATTATGTTTTAATGAAGGCTTCCCAGGAGCCTTGTCAGCGAGTCAGGACCCCAGGAGAGGTGTGAGATGTGAAAAATGAAAATGCCATCACCTGACAGATATTACGGGAAACAATCATTGTTTATCCCTTTGAATATGAATGAGCTTCTCTCACAAGTGCCTACAGTAACATTCAGCATGTTTCAGCTACTTTAACTTGTCAGTATGTTAGATTGTAAAAACTAATTGATCCAAATTGCAATATATTTGAGGATTAGTTTCTCTGTTTTTATTGATTTTCACACATTTTTAAAGGAGTAGATCTTTTTTTTTATTTTAAATGTTCTTCTAGATTTTTTTTGTTTATTTCAGAAACAAATATTTTTGTGTCTTCTTCTCTACAAAGACAATTTTCCTAGGAAAATGTTTTTTTGGGGGGAGAGAAAGTGGGGTTAGGTGGAAATTTATATTCTACAATTAAGATCTTACACATTTTCAAAATCTAACTACCTTTACAACACAAAATCACAGATAAAGGATGTTTCTAGCAGAATTTTATTCCAGCTTTGAAACTGAAATTAAACCTCCAATTTGGCAAAATGTGAAAAATAACATGCAGAAAATATAATAGCACAGAAATCCAAAATGAATTTTTTGGGAGAGCAAATGATTATCTGCCAAAACAATGAGATGATTTTTTTCTGTACTAATCAAAATAATCCCAGCAATTTACAGATTTAGTCAGAAAAAAAAAAAAATCAGCCAAAGAGCCTTGAGTATATTGTATTCTCTTTGCTGCTACTTCTGTGTATTTACCCAAATGTTAATGCCCACTAACTAATGACAGATTATTATAAATAAATGTAATGAATTAAGTTGTGATCTAACCTCTTGGACATGTCCAATCTTTTTCAGCGGGAGGATATGCTATCAGGATATGTACAAATTGTTGCGTTTAATCTCGCCTCCCCTGGGCCTGGGGAAGAAGTGCCCTAACAGGGTGGCTTATAAGGTTTGCACTCCCACACAGTCCTTTTGTTTTCAAAGGGACAGTGATGGTTTCAGACTGTGAATGTCTGTCCTCATTCCCTGCAGTGCCAGAGAATGACCCGATCCCACATGCATACAAACACACATCAATCATCCACTAACCAGCTGGCAGATAACCATGGCGAGTGCGGGAAACAATGCCACAAGTCAGGCTCAAACAAAAGACATCTGATGTGATGTCTACCATATTTTTCTGCTTCTAAACACTGGATTGAATGAAGAGTGTGAAGTGAAGAGAGAGCATTGTGTGCTTTGTTTCCACTTTGGTTACTGCTGATGTCTCTTAGCATGCAGAAACAGAGGGCATCTTAAAGGAATACTCCACCGAAAGGTTTTTGGTTTGTCTTTTCATTCCCTTGGCAGGTGACTCTGAAATGTTTGCAGCTGCTCCTTAAGAAGAATGATAGATGTAGTCAGACTGGATTATAGATTGTAGTATACACTTTATGACTCAGCATCCAGAAACAGGAGAAAGAAAGAAAACATCCACAGAAACTTCTCAAACAACTCTTGCAGAATCGTCCACTTCTCCCCTGTTGCTCCATGTGTTCAGTACATCTCTAAAGCTGCAGCTGTGGAAGGTCATAGCAGATCTTTTTCAAGGGATGCCATTAAAACAAAAGAATGTTAGGTGAGTTCAGAGGGGAAATTTGATTGCATCATGCCAAAAATTAGATGCATCCTCTGTCAAGAAAATATAAAGATCAATGAATTAAAAAAAAGTACAGAAACAGAAAGTGAAGCCAAATTAGTCAAAAAACAGTTTCTAATCTCTGAAAAAAGTGTCTCAGTGCTATCAGTGGCAATTATACGTGTGTTTTTGCAGCCCCTTCACTTGAAAATGTCTGAGATTTTGAACAACTGTTCACCAGTCTTCTCACTACCTACAGTATATCAGCCTATTCAATTGATTTATGACACACAGATTAAAGACCTAATTGAGACAGCAGATCATCAGGTTTTGTATCAGTATTAACAGATTGAAGTCCCTCTCTGAGATTCTAGAAGTCTTGAAATTTTGCAGATACAACAAATCATTTGAAGTGCTTGTAACACAGACTATATTCATTGTTGGACATGAGTAATTCTGTATGGGGAAAAGTGTTTTTGGCCTCAGTGACTTGATGTGACTTGCAACCCTGCTAGATACAGATGTTTAGCAGTTTACTGGCAAAGTGGCAATCTTTATAGAACATTCTGATTATTAGACCAAGCAGCTGATAGTTGGATTATGTTACAGGGGTGATTTAAAATGTTTCTATGATACTTTGAGCTTTGAGACTGTATTGGAATTCACTGTAACTACTAGGTTTTACAGCCATCTTTGAGCCTAGAGAAATCCCACAGGGGAGTATTCCTTTAACATAAAATTCACTCTCATTACCAAAAACAAATCTTGTACCAGCATCTCTGCACAGGGAATCCTTCCCTCTTCCTCTGGGATCCATTCCTGAATCTGTAAGTCCAGGCAGGATGGTCATTATATCCTGGAAATTTTATTAACAAGGATTTCTGTTTTCCTCTTTTATTGTCCCTGTCCCATTGTTTGATTTTGGATTTTGCTACTTTCTCTTATGATGTAACTTCCCCTACCCCTTTTAATCCCAACATATCACCCACCTGGGAATCCTTCATTCCTTCTTCCATGGCCTCCTACCACCTTTCCCCTGGGAAGCGGCCGCATAACTTACTGTGATATGTACAAGATGCTTCGCGACATGTCCCCTCCACTAGGTTTGGGAAAGAAATGTCCACCACGAGTCGCCTATAAGGTAGAATCCCTCCTTCTTCCTTCCCCTCCCTCCTGCAGTCACTGCTGGTACCCCACGTCCCCCTGTCAAACATCCCCAGGCTTCTGTCAATGTGTCACAGTCATTTTCCTCTTGTCTGCTGTTGTGCTGTTCTTTCTGTTTAATGTGTGATGCTCTGTGGCCTTGTCCTGCTCTGTCAGGGGGTGTACACATCTGTTTGTCCTCTGTAGGGGAATGTAGCTGATAAATAAAAGTAGATCAGAGAGCTGAGCACACCTTTAATATATCTATCATATCTCCACACAGTCATCGCACTAAAAAAATAAGAGCTGTTGGATAACAACAGCACAAGCTGCTGGAAGAAAATAAATTGAAAGAAAATATGTTTTTGGTCCCTTTTGTTTATCTGTTTGGTAGCTATAGCTGCAGTAATAAATATGCCACACCTTTTATGTTGAATTCACAAACAATTCACTTTGTAGCCCTACAGAGCTCTTTAGCCTCTCTTAGCTCATAGTTTTGGTTTCATAGCAGTATCAGCATCTCATCAGCCTTCTACAGCAGCAGCTGGTTTCATCAAAATACGTCTGAAAGACCCACGGTGCACCACCTGCCCAGCACCAGGTAGCAGACACATAAACTAACTGGTGAAAATAGTGGAACACCAAGCAGCTACTGTAATGAGTCAGAAGTTAGCACAGGCCTAGTCCCATTTATTTCATTTGATTTGATTTATTCTTTCTTTCAAGCATGTAAATACAGTTGATATGTCAACACACATTTTACACATATCCAACAAATGCTAATCCAATATCAATTTGCTTATACCTAGTACATGCTTGAATGGAGTAGGAAGAAGTCAGACTTATCCAGTCCTACCCCATGACATCATCTTACCATCATTGGTTTGCAAGCAGTATCTCTACATAAATAATTATCTTCTACACCACACAAGTAATATACTAAA